GCCGATGATCAGCGAAAAAAATCGTCTTGCGAACAAACGGTTCGCGAAGCATGGACCTAATCGGCGTCCAGTGAAAATCCCCCACTGGAATGACTGTTTTGCGAATCGCTATAGTGATTGCAAAAGTCATCGTTATGCAGATTCGTCGTTTAGCAGGGTCATCGTCTTGCGAGGCACCACTATATATTTGGGTAAGGTGTATCTTACAAGGATCCTCAACACTGAGATACTCAACAGTTAAGGTAGCAAAATAAATAAATGGATGTTAACAGAAAAGCCACATCTGAATTTTATTGTCATGTGATTGTGATAGTTATTTAACATTATTAGATGAACTATAAGTTGCCCATTATCTTTTGTGATGGAGAAAAGACTTTAAATGCAGAGAGAGATTCTTAGAGATATAAATGGAGCGCTCCTGTGTTGACAAAATAATAAGAAGCCTATATGGAACTCTGCTTCCTCTCTGAAGGTGCTGGATTGTAGTGCTTTAAAAATAGAAATTAGGGTGGTGTGATTCTTGGTTAGAAATAGATTGGGCCAGAAGAAAATACACAACAGATTTTTTAGACAGCAACTGCATAAATGAAAATTAACTACTCAATAATTCATGTTTACAGAATGGACTAACCTGAAAAAGATATATTTTTAGATCCATATGATGCAAGTATTTCTGTTTGCTTTTCCAAAGACATGCCACCAGGTAGGATAAAGCCATCAACAAAGTCAGCAGGCCTGCTGCTGTTCTGTAAGAGATAAACTATTTGTCAGTCTATTTTGAAAGTACAGCTTTAGGAGTAATATTGGTGAAGATTAAATTACGCATTCAATAAAGAGCAATTTTGCAACATGGATAAGACATTTTATCTGAGCTTTATGGAGAAGGAGGTGATAGCCCAGAGTCAAGATTGTTAAATTACGTCCTCTCTCACAAGACTCAATATATGCGTACATCTACCACTTCCTCTAATGATACATGTGTCCATCTTTTCAGTTTCTGAATAATAATAATATAATAATAATAATATAATTTATTGTCATTGTAAGTATATACACAGTATACCATACAACAAAATTCACAGACACCCAGAGACCAGACACATGCACACACATAGCATTCCCCAAACACTCCCCACCCACTAGAAGTCCCCCACTAAAAATACAAACATCTACACCTCAGGCCAAGTAACACAGTCCAACTAATTATTCACTACTGGTGGTCTTTAAGCTCATTATTAATTGCAATTATAGCTCTAGGATAAAAACTATTTAGAAAACGTGTGGTCCGAGTCTTAATTGTTCTATATCTTCTGCCAGACGGTAACAGTTCAAAAAAGTTATAAGCAGGATGGGAAGAGTCTCTCAGGATGCTGTGTGACTTCCTCAGAGAGCGGGATGTGAAGATGTCATCCAGGGTTGGTAGCTGGAGCCCGATGATATTCTGGGCAATTTTAATGGTTCTCTGTAGAGCTTTTTTGTCCGCTACAGAGCTACTCCCAAACCATGCCAGAATGCCATAAGTTAGGACACTCTCAATGGTGCTACGGTAGTAGGACAGAAGTAAATGCTGTGATAAATTTAACTTCCCGAGCATTCTCAGGAAATACAGCCTCTTCTGTGCCTTCTTTATTAGCATGTTGGCATTTATAGTCCATGAGAGGTCCTCTGAGATGTAAGCCCTCAGATTAAAACACAAATAAGCAATGCCATTATGTGACTTGGCAGGAAAGCTTGATAAAAGTTAAGAGAAAGATCATAGAACCTGACTAGGCGATCCCCACCAGGGTCCCAAAGGGGCCCCCACACTCACTCATACCTGTCTCTCATGCCACTGTGTTGAATTCTGATGGTTGTACGGCAATCTTAGGCGGAAAGGCATCTTTCATTTCACCCTTTCAGGGTACAGATTAGATACCTTTCACATACATGCCCCCGGCAGATATTTTGGTGGGGTATGATTCCATACCATAGGGAGGTGAGTGGGAACAATGTAATCACAAATGACTGGGGCAACTCCCATGTGCCAGGCGTGTGGTTTAGCATCTGAGGACAATGAACACTTGCCAGAAAAGGGGGACAACAGGAAACCCTGACACTTCTTCTTTCCCGTGTATGTTCCACTCATCCTCATCTGACATTTGAAGGGGTTCTCTTAATGCTGGGCTTGAGAACTTTAACTCTGCTATGAGTGATCCCTGGTGCCTGGCTTTTTCCGCATTGGAATCAGTCCCAGGTATGGATGCATGACTGATCAACTAGGGATACTGAGGAGGAAGGAAAATATCTAAGTTTCCTTCTGTAAGCTTTTCCTTTTGAATGCCACTCTGGTGCCTCACAGACTCTTGATCATCACCATCAACTAGAATGTACTGTAAATGTTAGAGGATTTCACTAGAACACTGGAGTTTATTTAGTACTGTCACTCTTTAAGGCCGGATGGTAGTCAGTGCCTTCTCCATCTGTTACAGCACATGCCCTACAACACTTTCCATATGGCTTGGAATTTACACCAGCCATATGAGCTGTTCCCCACAGCATCTGCAAGTGCTACTCACAACTGAGGCCCTCTCTGCTGCACTTCTTTCCTGCTCTCTCCAGTATTTCTTCCTTAACATATTACAATGTCATGTGCATTTTATTTTCCTTTCTCTCCCCTTGCTCTGAGAGGCCAACAGGATGCTAGCATATCATATTTCTCCACTATTCTTTTAGAGATCATCCTACTTCATAGATGGATCAGGAAGGAGCTCGAAAACTGGATGGCAGTGGGAGGAGATCTATATCCTGTCCTCTGGGATATCCCTCTCCACCAAAGGATAACTTAGTAGTTAATATTCAGTTTGATTTTTCATCAAAGAAGTTAAAGACAATAATAAATAATGCATTTCCCACATAATTAAATTCCAAATTTCAACAACACTGATGGACTCTCAGTAACATAATTTCTTCCCAATAACAAGAATCAGATAAAGTTTGTACATGTTAAATGAGAAAACAGAAAGTTGAAATAAACAGATACATGCTCTTACACCAGAGAGATATTCGGCTGTCTTCCTACAATGGGCATCAAGGGGAAAACTGCCAGAAGCAAGCATGAAAGAATCCAGCTTAGTGCAGTTACCTACAATTTAAAAGAACAGACTATGTGTATAGATATATAAAGTCACATATATAAACAGAACTAATTATGGGAATCAAAACGCTAAGTTAAAAAAAAGAATTCAGGTAAAATTATGGCAATAACTTTGTGAAAGTGCCTAACCTTCACAAAAATTATTCATGCTCTAAATTTGCCTCCTTGCTTACATTTTCAGTTAAAAGTTTCCTGCAAGGTTCAACGAGCATCTCACAGTCACTTTTTTATGCGCAACAGCTCAATTCAGTGGAAATACTATTTTAGGAAAATATGAATCTAAGAGAAAACACAGTGGATAAATTCCAATGTTAGGCTTGCCTAGTGTAGACCAACTGAAAGCAACTGAAGTTAAGTTGTAACAAATCTCCATTCACTTCAGTAGATCCACTCTAGATATACAGTATCTAAAACTGGATTTACACAATGTCTAACCAACAACAAGATAGCAGAAATCAAGGGTGATGAAGATAGTCAGCACCTTGGGGTGAAAAAGCTTGTGCAATTAAACAGCTGACTCTACAGTGATGTGGTGAACACATGATGAAATCTACCAACTAATCCCTGAACAAGAACTCACTCCAGGCAAGCATGTTTAAATGCCCTCCCTACTATCTCAACACAGTCATTCCAAAGAAGGTAGCCCTGAGGCCCCACTGAATCTCTGGTTACACCACCAATTTTGAAGGGACCTCTTAACCTTGATTAGCTTACAGAACATTTTCTTTTTATCCACATTAAAATGCAATTACATAATACACCAGTGCTACCTTCACCCTCAGGGCTAGCATTAACAATGTTTTTAAAATTCATTCAATCCATTTTCTCTCCAAAAATCCATTGTTTCTTCCCTCTCTGAAATACATATTCCAGGAATACACTCCATATTTTCTAAAAATCGTTATTTTTGATAGACCTCTTCTTATTTTCATATCACATGTCAACTTATCATTAATTGCCATATCCCATAATTCTCTACACCATTCCTCTAAATTAATTTGGTCATCAAATTTTTCCGATTTCTTGCAAATATTAACCTTGCTGCCGTAACCGTTATTACAATTAAATCCTCATTTTCTTTCAACAATTGATCTTTCTTAACCATGATCAATAGAGCCATTGATGGGGACATTTGAATATTTAATCCAGTTATTTCCCTTATTTCTTTAAAAATTTGCTTCCATTCTTTCTTTCTTACTTCACATAATCATCACATATGTAAATATGTCCCCTCTTTTTTACACCTCCAACATAGTGATGATAATTTTTATTTATTATATTCAGTTTTACCGGCGTTAAATACCACCTCCATATTACCTTATAACAGTTTTCTTTTATCCTTACAGACACATTCTTCATAATTCTTTGATCCCACATTTCATCCCACTCTTTTCCTACTGATTCTTTATCCAAGTCATATTGTCACTGTGCTTTTAATACTTGTGTGTCCTGTTCGGCCTGAATTAATAATTTATATATTTGACTTACAGTTCTCTTTCTTTCTATCTTTTCCTCTAATTTCAGTCTTTTTTCAATAATCTCTTCAAATTTTGTCATTTTTCTACTTTTCCCTTCTTTACTTTTCCATTCCCTTGTCCACCTTTCTATTTGAATCATGTTAAATCAAGAAATCCCCTCTCCTCCCAAAATCTCTTTTATATTTCCTTTATCTTCAATCTTCTCCATCCAATCTTTTATCCTATTTATCCCTTTATCTTTTAATATATTCTTAAAAGTTTTTTTAAGATTTTCTGGAAAATTCTTTAAATCCACTACCAGGGATAAGGGAGAAGCTGGTGGGCTCAATACACCCCTAAACATTTTCCAATTTTCTAACATAATTTAATTTAATTTTTTAAATCTCTTCTCCAATCTTTTCTTTGAATAATATACTTTCAAGTTTGATAAGGGAAAAGTTGGTGGCCTCAATACACCCCTAAACGTTTTCCAATTTTCTAACATATTTTTAAGGAAAGAGTTAGTAAGTTTTTAAATCTCTTCTCCAAACTTTTCTTTGAATAATATACTTTCAAGTTTTTCTTCCCGCTTACAGAATGTTTTCAACTGATCCATCTTCTTATTTACTTAACACATTCTTATTCCACTTCCAAAAAAGTTGGTGGCCTCAATACACCCCTAAACGTTTTCCAATTTTCTAACATATTTTTAAGGAAAGAGTTAGTAAGTTTTTAAATCTCTTCTCCAAACTTTTCTTTGAATAATATACTTTCAAGTTTTTCTTCCCGCTTACAGAATGTTTTCAACTGATCCATCTTCTTATTTACTTAACACATTCTTATTCCACTTCCAAATAGCTTACATTGTTTCCTCTTTTACCTTCACACGAAGGAAACAAGATAGAGTAGGTTGAGAAGCACAGGCTGAAATCCAGTAGTAAACTGCAACTAGAGCAGGCTCATTGGAAATTACAGCAGAGTTGACTCACCAAATCCTCACAGATTCAATGGGCCTACTCTATGTAACATACTACAGTAAGCAACAGGATTTCATCCAATGCCTCTGTGCATATAATGCTATAAAATCATCCACCAAGGAACTGCAATGCAGGAAACTACAGTCCAAGAAGGGAACAGCCATTTTCAAGATTGACTGCATGGTTTCTAAGTCAATATCTCTCATGTTAAAAACCAACCACTGGATATAGCTGGCTATTTGTGAAACAAGTGTTGACCCCCCCCCTTTCAAAACCCTACAAGCCTTTTGAAGGCTGTTTCGCTAACTTTGAGGGAAACTTTCATGGTGCCTTCATGTAGGCAAAGCCTTTGGAAGGCTGTTTCGCTAACTTTGAGGAAACTTTCATGGTGCCTTCATGTAGGCATGCATTTCCAAGGGGTTTTGAACACACTCCTTCTACAGAAAGAATCAGAGCTTTTCCACACAGAAAATACCTTGACTTGAGTCCATGGCTTCGTAACCAAAGGCCATGCAGAAAAGGTAATCAGACCAAAGCTAAGAGCAGACCGATAAAAGAAGGAGCAAACCTAGTCCGTGCAAATAGAAAACACATACACAGAGAAATAAATTAGCAAGAATAACATTATTCTCAATGAAGTAAACTTTACACATGTCCAGTACTTTTTAGCAAATGCTCTGTATTCATGCCTTTTATTATACGTAGTTTAATTATAAGATATTTTTCCACTGAGTTTTACACTTCAACATTTTAATAAACAATTTTAAAAGACAGTATCAAGTAGCCCAGATAGGCGGGGTATAAATCAAATAAATAAAATAAAATAAATAAATAATTACTTACTAATATTTCAATTCCCAAGGTGAAGACTAACAAGAATCCAACAAACTGTGTTCGTTGAAACTTCAATAGAAATGTAATTACTTCTTGAATTACAGGATATCTGTTTGAAAATATTAGACGAGAAAATCATTTCTTATTAGATCAGAAAATACATAATTAGTATATGATAAAGAACTTTAAAGTGTAAGAGATATAATATTTCCAGTGTAAAACTAAAGACTACTACTTAACTAACATAATTTTACATGTTCTGGGTAAATTGAGTGTGGTGTGGCAGGCAGATGTGTTTCATATACATTAGTGTTCATAATGGTGAAGTCCACAAGTGCAGGAAAAGGCTAATAAATAGATATCCCCTAGAAAATACTCCAAAGGACTATGATGCTCTGCTAGCCTGCATCAAAGTTATGGCTCCAGTAGCTAGAAGGCAGAGTTAAATACTGAAGACTGTTTCATTCAGAAAAACTACTTCATCCTCCTTCATTCACTCTTAACATCCCCTGTGTATCAGGTCCTCATTTGTCCTTCTATCAACAATTTTTCTGCTTTGATGCTCATGCTCTGTCCTTCTTGTAATCTTATGAATTTTTGTATGCAGTCTTTGTACAAATTGTGTTGATTAAATTTTGTATGCACCTCTGCTGGTGAATGAATATTTCATCTGCTACTACTCACAAACGGCCTACAGAACTTAGTTCATTGCATATAATGTACCCAAATCTTGTAATACCACAAGCTCTAGCTTACAGAGGCAAAAGATTGGAACCTACTCATGCTTGCAGGAAATCAAGTTACTGAAATATCTTTCTTCTGTATTAAACACTTGCTCCAGAGCTTAGAATCACCAGCCCTTCATCAGCAAAAAAACTGTAAGATTTTGTATGAATGGCACTGTCGCACACCCCTAGCTCCCCTTTTTGTTTTCCCTAACACCCAGGTCTGCCTTTGGGCACAACTTTTTATTTTCTTCCTTTTTATGCTGCCACCAGAGGATATTCTCCTCACTGTACCAAATATGAATAATGGATCAATGCTGTCAAATATAACTATTATATATATATTTATTGGTTAATAGGTAAATCACATAAGGAAAATTATGGATGGTCTTGTATTATTCATTCATTAAACGTGCTTTGGACTTTAGATACGTTTACTTATAAAGATTCACTTTACTCACAGTGTTAAATATTCAAACAGTTTATTTCTTATTACTTTTAACTCCTTCAGTTCTCAAATACACCAACTTTCCAAGTCCTTGTCTTAATCCTAACCTAACTGTCTATCTTAACACCCTATATGTCTCTGTCTCTTCTTCTTCTCTCTCTCCAGCTGCCCTAACAGTCCCAAACTTTTTTCCCTCCTAGTTCCGTTGGTTCCGCCAGCTGCCCTAACTGTCCCAAACTGTCTTTTTTTCCTCCTAGTTCCGTTGGTTCCGCCCCTCCAGTCCTGTCATAGGGTCCCACACCAGAGCTCTAACCTGACGGACAGGAGTGACGTGTGAGCTGTCCTTCACAGGCACATAAGTATTACAGTGGTACCTCGACTTACGAACGTCTCCACCTGCGAACGTTTTGAGTTATGAACAGCTCCGTTTGCACAATGTTGCTTCGACTTGTGAACGGAGCCTCGACTTACCAACGCAAAAACCTTTCCTGCCCTTTTTTTTAACCTAAGTTCATCTTAGTTCAAAAGAAGAAGAAAAATCTCCCCCTAGTGGTAGAGTACGGATTAACTGGCTTTGCATTACTGTAGTTCAGATGGGAACTAATGCCTCTAATTACGAACAGCGCCTCGACATATGAACGAAAAACAGCCTGAACGGATTAAATGGTTTTCAGTGCATTCCTATGGGAAATCTTGCCTCGACGTACGAACATTTCGACATACGAATGCCATTCCAATGCAAATTATGTTCGTAAGTCGAGGTACCAATGTACAAGACTGTCATTACTATTCCTGTGATAGTTTTCTAACTGCCTGCAACTCTGTTACGCAGAGTTACAGGCTCATCATTGCTTCTTTATTAGAAACCCCGGATCCTCCAACCACAGCCAAGTACAAAGAGCACTTCAAATTAAAGAACATGGTGCCTCAAAGCACATTGTGAGCTTAGTTTGTATTCAGGACCAGACTGAATGAAATGGAGCTCACATCCCTTCTCCACAAAAGTCCATTCTTTTTTAATCCAAATTTTATTCCATTTCAGCAGCCAATTTTTGATAGGAGAAATAATTTTGTTGTTCAAACTAGGGGTTCTTCACACACCCTTGCTGATCTACTGCAAACCACCAAAAGATTAACCAGTAGATCTAGATCTACCTTCTTGCTCACCCCATTCTAATTGGCAGAGATACATTGGAAGTGGCATAATGCTACCCATCACATAATAAACCTACTTTGTTTTTGGAAACTATATATACTAAATGTGAAGGTTTTAGAAAACAAGTATTTTAAACAGGAAAAGCCATATTTGATTCCTCATGATTGTTTTCAAACACATTAGCTGAGTTCCAAACTAGCACCCCCAACCCCAGCTTTAAAAAACTTACTCTTTCAAAACTGCATACCATAGCAGAACTGGTAATAGACAATATATGTAATAGGTCCAAGGTAAACTTTGAATGAGAAGGAAAATGGCTATCAATACTCCAACAGCAAGAAATGTATATTGAAAAAAACTGCCAGCTGCCTGAAAAATAAATAAATACTTGTAAATGTATACTAATAATATATTTAAGTGCCTGAAAGAAAAATTATTTAAAATGAAGTATTACAATATAAACATCTCATTTTATCTCAGCATCTTGGCAAAAATTAAAGGAAATTAAAGGGGGGAAAGGGGGAGAAGGAGGTGGAAAAGGCAAGATATTTTCCATAAAGCCTAACAGATTTATTTCAGTGTGAACATTTTTGAATCAAAGTCCAGTTCTTCAGTCACAGGGAGTACAAATACAGGTCCTCTAAATTTACACATACCACCATGTTGACAAGGCATGGACATGTGAAGATACAGATAACAAAGTGACAATGGTTTGTTAACACAATAATGTGATTAGCAAGCTGTTAATCTCCTTAGGTAGCAGTCCTTAACAAATTTATTAGTCTTTGAAGTGTCACAATATTTTGCCTTTTTTCTCTTTGTTAGCTCCCTCCTTTTCCCGTTTAATTTCACCAATGTCAATAGATACAGTATTTGAACTCAAACACAGTGTTGGTCTGATATTCTCACTGGCTTGCCAGAACACACCATGGGGCCATCCTCACTTCATACTAGGAAACTGCTTCATTTCCCATTTGGACAACATTTCCCACTAGGAAGCCTTCTGAGAAATTGTGTTTATTTATATAAACTTCACCACTACGTACTGATGGTGAATTCAATAAATGAGTTGCAGCACTCCTCCATCCCATCCCCAGAAATCATTAAGGCCATTGACAGATGTTCTTGGGTGAATAAATCCTATTCCATGTGTTTTTTAAAAACTAAAAAACATCCCCCTACGTAAAAATATCCCCAGACATCTGGTGAAGCATTCTACCTTGGCTGTTATCCTGATATATAAGGTTTGTATTCACAGGGCAAGGTATAATTTGGGGAATTTGCATTTACCTGGTGCTGTTTATCAAGATATTTTTTAATGTGAGCTACATGAGAAGAAAAGATGTAGCCAATGAGTAAATGCCTCTTAAAATGGTTAATGTCAGCTGGTAGGATTGCAAGTCCTACCACACTAGACAAAGCCATCAAGCAATGAATTACCTTTGCTACACAGAAGAGCCATATATTGAGCAACCATAGAGCACAGGAATGGTACATTTTAACTCACCTTATATGTTGTGATATTCCTAGTCAGACCAGTATGTGCCTTTATGATAATGAGGATCACGTAAAATGTCCAGCCTACAAAACCCATGGCAACACTTATGCCTAAGAAAAACCTGTCATATGTATGATAATATGAGAGCCCTTCTAAAGCAAGGTTAATCAGCTTGATACAAAGAGATACCTACAGAAAAGACACAAACAAAGGACATTTTACGCAATTAGATATGAGACCCATTGAGTCTTAGGATTTGAAAATGAATGGGCAAATCACAAGAAACCTTCAGCTACATGATGCTCTTCACCTCCACGGCTTTGTTAAAATGAAAAGTTCCCTCAGAAGCTGCAGAAAAGAGAGGGAAAGCAGCAGGAGGGGGAACTACTTAACCCTTATTCCCCTCCCCATCCTATGTCAACACATAATTCTCAACTTCAAAGTTATTTTCTTCTCTTGTAGGTTAAAACACACGACACATATAAGCCAGGATAACTATATAGTGGTACCTCGATTTAAGAACTTAATCCATATTGGGACTGTGTTCTTAAGTCGAAACGTTCTTAAGTCGAAGCACAATTTCCCATAGGAATGCATTGAAAACCGATCGATGCATTCTGAGGGAAGAAAAAAGGCAAAAAGGCAGAGGGAAAGGGTTGGAAATTCGAATTTCCCGCCCCTTCCCCCTGCCTTTTTGCCTCTAGAGGTCTCAAAGGGCTTCCTCCGATGTTGGGGGAGAAATCCCTTTGAGACCTCCAAAGGTGCCAATCGCTCCATTTGCAAAAATTGGCATTGACTTGCGAACGGAGCCTCGACCATCAAAGGCAAAAAGGCAGGGGAAAAGGGTGGGAAAACTGAATTTCCTGTCCTTTTCCCCTGCCTTTTTGCCTTCGGAGGTCAAGGCTCTGTTCGCAAGTCCATGCAAATTTTTGCAAACCGAGCCATTAGTAAGTCAAAAAGTTAGTAGGTAGGGACATTCATAAGTCGAGGTCCCACTGTACCACTATATATAGCAGTATACTATATACTATATACTATACAGTATGCTACGTATATGCTATACCACTATACTATATACTATAGTGGTACTATAGTAGAGCACAGAGTGCTACTCCAATCCTCTGAAGATGCCGGCCACAGAGACTGGTGGAACATTAGGAAGAACAGCCTTCAGAACATGGCGAAAGAGCCCAAAAACCCATAACAACCACAGGACACATATCTTTTTTTAAAATTTGATATGGTGAGTAGAAAGCCATATGAGTGAAATCTTGCTTCTGTAAATTACATCACTTAAGGTTGATGATAGTATCAGCCAGGACAAAGTTTTGGAAATTAAACATTTCCTCCTTTTAATCCTTTTAATCGCTTGGAACCCCTGGGGGCCACAGGAATAGAGGAGGAAGTTTTTAATTACCAAAAATAGCTGCTAGTGGTCATATAGTTATCCTGGTTTATTTGCCTTTTTTTTCCCCTCCAACTATGCTGAGACATACTAACATAATTACATATTTTCTATGTGTTTGTACAGGTAAATCCTAACAAATGTTTGTCAGCAATAAATAAATAAATTAACAAATTTGCTAAGACAAATATAGACACTGTCCAGCTAATGCCCACTGCCCTCACTGATGTGCAACTGAGCCCCCAGATGGTCTTCAAATACAAGTCACAGAGAAAGGTTTTTGCTTCTGTGCTTTTATTTTGGAGATGAAACTTCTGTTTGGTACATGAAAAGTCTATATGCTACTACTAAGTGACAGAAATAGGGAGAGAAAACCAAATAACAACACCACAGAGCTTGTTAAAATACTACACAGAAAACTAAAGGAAGATGGAATTGACTCATTTGGTTCACTTACTGCTTCCTCATATTTCCCATGCTGAATGAAAGCTCTTGCTTTCCTAAGGATGTCAATCTGCTCTGAATCAGAGAGAGGCCTGTGCAAAAATGAACAGAACAAAATATTGTAAAATCTTAATCTTAAATCTTTTTTTTCTGTAAGAAAGGAGAAGAGTGGAAACACTTCTCTTTAAGAACTACTGTTTAATAAATTGGTTCTTCAAAAAAAAACTCAGGCTGCAATTAACAGATTGCTGTCTTGTAAAAAAAAAGCCAAAACTCATGTTCATAAAAACTTCCTATATATTTCAAATGGTGCATTGCTTCTATACATCTTTTGTGTTTGGTACATGGGAAATCTGTACTAATGCGAAATAGATCTTACAGATCACACTGCACCTGTATAATACTGAGAAGCCCCAAGAGGCTTGGGATTATAGCTTCTAAAATAACAAGGCTCATAATCAACAATGAGGAGACAAAAGCTGCTTAGTCTCAAGAACATAAATAACAACATCATTCATATGTCAGGACAATTAATTATATAGTATAACTAAACATAAGTGCTAATTGCACAGAAGCTTGTAAACTGTCCCCTATGATATGTCACATACTCTCAGTGGAAGTACACCTGACAAAATTAATATCCCCCCCCATCATTCCCAGCTCCCATTTAAAACAAAACAACTCAATCAGCTGACAGCCCAAGCACCAAATCTGTGACAAAAATGAACCACGGCAGTAATCTCAATAGATTACAGTCTGGTCTGATTTCTTTGGAGATGACATTTTGGCCGTTGTAGTACTTTTTCTGAAGGAAGCAAAGTTACTGCACCCTCACAGAACTAGAGTAAGTAGAAAGAAAACTAAAAGAAAAATCCATGCTTGCATCATATGCATACTTACATATGTGTTTCCAACACATTCCCACTTTCTTCTTTAGGTTTACAGTTTCTTTCAAAAAAAGAAACCTCAAATATACATACTGGGATCGTTTGATTGGCCATGTGTTCAATTACCTCTTCTCTGCTTTAACACACTTCCAACCCTCATGAGGACACTTAGAATAAAGCAACAATGTCTACTCAGTCCAATGGGGCTTCGATACTACCATGATAGCAATGTATCCACAGCAACAAAAGAGGTGTTCACATATGTGGAATTGATTTCAACGAATTGATTTAACTTCTGTGGTAAAATAAAAGTACCACTGGTGAATGAGGGGAAAAAACTTGCTGCCACTGAAAATAACACAGCCATCAACTTTCTAGACTTTCCAAAGCATCAGACCCCGTCACAGACTGCTGCCTTGTCGTGGCAAAGGGGCTTGAGTAATTCAGAGAAGCTATGGGCTATGCCTTGCAGGGACACCCAAGACGGACAGGTCATACTGGAGAGTTCTGACTAAACACGATCCACCTAGAGCACTGGTTCTTAACCTTGGGTTGCTCAGGAGTTTTGGACTGCAACTCCCAGAAGGCTTCACCACCAACCGTGCTGGCTGGGGTTTCTGGGAGTTGCAGTTCAAAAACATTTGAGTAACAAAGGTTAAGAACCACTGACCTAGAGCAGGAACTGGCTAGCCAGTCCAATATCTTTGCCAAGAAAACCCCATGAACAGAAACAAAACTAAAAGATATGATGCTGGAAGATGAGCCCCTCAGGTCGAAAAGCGTCCAACATGCTACTGAGGTAGAGCGGAGGATAAGTACAAGTAGCTCCAGAGCTAATGAAGTGGTTGGGCCAAAGCCGAAAGGACGCTCAGCTGTGGACATGGAAGTAAAAGGAAAGTCTGATCCTGCAAAGAAAAATACTGCATAGGAACCTGGAATGTAAGATCTATGAACCTTGGGAAGCTGGATGTGGTCAAACAGGAGATGGCAAGAATAAATATTGACATCCTGGGCGTCAGTGAACTAAAATGGATGGGAATGGGCAAATTCAATTCAGACTATTATCATATCCACTATTGTGGGCAAGAATCAGGTAGAAGAAATGGAGTAGCCCTCATAGTCAACAAAAGAGTGGGAAAAGCTGCACTGGGATACAATCTCAACAATGAGAGAATGATTTCAATATGAATCCAAGGCAGACCTTTCAACATCATAGTAATCCAAGTTTACACACCAACCACCGATCCTGAAGAGGCTGAAACTGACCAATTCTATGAAGACTTACAACATCTTCTAGCACTCATTTCACACACTAGCAAGGTTATGCTCAAAAAATCCTTCAAGGCAGGTTTCAGCAGTATGTGGACCAAGAACTCCCAGAAGTGCAAGCTGGATTTTGAAGGGGCAGAGGAACTAGAGACCAAATTGCTAACATGTGCTGGATTATGGAGAAAGCCAGAGAGTTCCAGGAAAAAAAACTAATTCTGCTTCATTGACTGTGCAAAAACTTTTGACTGTGTGGACCACAGCAAACTATGGCAAGTCCTTAAAGAAACAGGAGCGCCTGATCACCTTATCTATCTCCTGAGAAATCTGTACGTGGGACAGGAAGCATCAATTAGAACTGGCTATGGAACAACTGATTGGTTCAAAATTGGGAAAGGAGTATGACAAGGCTGTACATTGTCCCCCTGCTTATTTAACTTTTATGCAGAATACATCATGCGAAAGGCCAGACTGGAGGCCAAACCAGAATCAAAATCTCCGATATGCAGATGATACCACTCTGATGGCAGAAAGAGAGGAGGAATTAAATAACCTCTTAATGAGGGTAAAAGAGGAGAGTGCAAAAATGGTCTGAAGCTCAACATAAAAAAAACCTAAGATCATGGCCACTGGTCCCATCACCTCCTGGCAAATGAAGGGGAAGATATGGAGGCTCCATGATCACTGCAGATGGAGACAGCAGCCACAAAATTAAAAGACGCCTGCTTTTTGGAAGGAAAGTGATGACAAACCTAGACAGCATCTTAAAAAGCAGAGACATCACATTGTCGACAAAGGTCCGCATAGTAAAAGCTATGGTTTTTCCAGTAGCGATGTATGGAAGTGAGAGCTGGACCATAAAGAAGGCTGACCGCCGAAAAATTGATGCTTTTGAATTGTGGTGCTGGTGGACACTCTTGAGAGTCCCCTGGACTGCAAGGAGAACAAACCTATTCATTCTAAAGGAAATCAACCCTGAGTGCTCACTGGAAAGACAGATGCTGAAGCTGAGGCTCCAATACTTTGGCCATCTCATGAGAAGAGAAGACTCCTTGGAAAAGACACTGATGTTGGGAAAGTGTGAAGGCAAGAGGAGAAGGGAACAACAGAGGACAAGATGGATGGACAGTGTAACCGAAGCTACCAACATGAATTTGACCCAACTCCAGGAGGCAGTAGAAGACAGGAAGGCCTGGCATGCTCTGGTCCATGGGGTCACGAAGAGTCAGACACAACTGACCAACTAAACAACAACAAAGGCATCAGACAAAGTGGTTTGTACTGCACTCCAATGTAGTCAAATGAATTTATTACAAATGCATGCATAAGCATATTAACACTTAAAACAAAAAAGCATGAATAAAATTGAAAATGCAACATACAAGTAGAAGCCTCTTGCAAAACAAACAAAAAAAGGAAAACAGGAAACAAAGTTCCTCAATTTTCATAAGTTTTGACTCTAATGAATTGTGTAAGCCCCTCATGACAACGTTAAAAAAAAAAAGGACTGACAAGAGAGAACAGACAAGACATGTTTGTATATTTATGCATTTTGCATGTAAATTACATTGTAGTCAGGAGTCAATCAAAGGCCAGAAGAGGGTGAGATGCGGATCTCCAGCAACTCCCCTGGCCAGCACAGCAGTAGAATCAGAAGACTTCAGCTGAACACAAACAGCACTTTTAGCCTGAAGGTCTGGAAAATGTGATGCAAAACACTTAGGAGTGAAAGGGGCTTAATGGGGAAGCTCTGGAAGATCAGCACAAACAGAGCTTGAAAGAATCGCTTTTCTGTTTGTCTTGCAAAGGCTAAGCATGCATAATTTAAAAAGCAGGCATTAGCTCCTCCAGTCAACACCAGGGGATTCTTGTTTAAGGCCCCAGCTACTTAGCCAAACTTCAAGAACAAATTGGTATACCAGTGACACAGCCTATAGGAATATCACAGTTACCCTTGAGAGCTAGGAACCAGGGAATTTCTCAGATCAGTTTCAGTTTCTGTTAGGTATTCATTCAGGAGGGGGCAAACCATCCTCTTTGAGGTTTTAGTTTCAGGTCTACCCACTCCTCTTCCAAACACAGGGATGCAATGTTTATTTCTCTCACAAGATTACTGTAAGGATCAATGAGATAACATACAGCTGGCAGCCTTCTATGCTGCTGAATTAAAAAACCCAGGTCCTTCTTTACCACTGGCTATGAGAGTTGCCTGACAGTATGTGGAGAGACAGTTTCTCATTCCCTCCTGCATCAGTAAGGTCTTATTCAAACTTCCCCAACACAGTATCCTCAAGATGTGGTAGACTACCATTTCCTCCATCCTCAGGCGGCAGGTGCAGTGGTTATGGTGGCTGAGGAGAAAGAGAGTTGTGGCCTAAAAAACTATCAAAGGTACTAAGCTGAGAGAAGCCTTCCTCCACTCCAGCTAGTTTACAACAGCATCTGGACTAAAATGGGAGAGCTGGCCCTGATCCATTGGTTTGTTACAAGACATCCTCCTTAAAACGATAATCATACATAGACCATAACCTCAACCAAATCAGCCACATTCCACCCCATGAACTCTTTATTTGGAGGAGGGGGTAACATGCCACGTGATGAAAAAACCCAGGTAGTTCAAAAGCATGGACTTTTCTGAGACATTTTAAAGGAATTATAGTAGCATGGATTTGTAATTTTTTCCTTACAGCCATTCTAATGACCTTTGCTTATGATAGTAACTGTTCCCACAATAGTCATTCTCTCTCAGATGTACAGGGAAAATGTACTTACTTGAATGGTGAAAACAGAAATGGTAATGTGCTTTTCTTCTTCTGAGCCATCTTAACCTTAAAATAAACAATAGAAAAATAACTGAAGCTGTTAACAAAAAAGAGCCTGTATGGAATAATTGACTTAAAGGAACACCAGCATATACTGCTAAAAATGCAGAAGAAAAATGTGGAGATAAATGTCTCCATATTAATTTCAATGCTTTGAGTTCTTCCAATAATCCATTGTAAGATATTGCTGTACAATGTATGTTTAATTTGTTGTACACCACCCAGAGTAGTGATTCACTAGATGGGCAGTATATGAATAAATGAATGAATGATTAAATGAAGTGAGAAAAGAGGTTGCTTACCTGTAACTCTGGTTCTTCGAGTGGTCCTCTGTGAATTCACACTAATAGGTTAATCTGCGCTCAGGCAGAGTAACCTCAGAAACTTCCACAGCTTTAAGCCGGGGCCTCCCCTACACCTGACTATATAACTCTGCCCCCGGCACCCAGTGCCTCAGTTCCAAAGAACCAACCGCCGCTGCCCAACATGCCATGGCACACGTGTTGGACAGCGGGGAGGAGGGTGGGATGTGTGAATTCATAGAGGACCACTTGAAGAACCAGAGTTACAGGTAAGTAACCTCTTTTTTCCTTCGTGGTCTCTGTGAATGCACACTAATGGGTGACTGGCAAGCTGACTAACCAGGATGAGGGACGTCACGAAAGTGCAGAAGCCAGGACAGCTCGACCTACTGCAGCCTGAGCCTTGGGCTGGACATCCAGGCGGTAGTGCGAGCTGAAGGTAGACGGAGTGGCACATATGGCAGTGTGGCAGCCATCTGGGATGTCCACTCCATGGAGAAAGGCCATTGAGGATGCAACAGCTCTAGTAGAGTGAGCTCTCAGTGATTTTGGAAGAGGAGTCTTTGCCAAGTTATAGGCAAGATGGATGGCCTGGACTATCCATCTAGAGATGGTCCGAGAGGAAGCTGGTGCTCTGAAGGAGGAGCCAGCAAAGGTGACAAGGAGATGCTGTGAGGCACGAAAAGTGGTCGTACGACGCACATCATATGACAGAGCATGCTTCCCATCTAGAGCGTGCAGCGCTGTCTCACACGGAGAAGATGGTGTGGAATAGAAGACAGGAAAGACAGCTGGCTGGTTCAAATGGAAGGCAGAAAATATCTTAGGGAAGGAGGTAAGGTCTGGCCGTAAGGTTACTTTGCATAAAAGAGGATCTGCTCTTAGTGTAACCAGTCCTCCAGTCCTGCAAGCTAAGGATATTGCCAGGAGAAAGGCAGTCTAGCAAGCAGAGCGATGTTGATGCCAAGGGCTTGAAGGGAGGCCTCATAAGCTGCTGAAGAAGTAATTCGAGAGACCACTAAGGTGTTAGTGGTCTATAGGCAGGGCACATATTCTCCAGGCCTCGGAGAAATAGCTTGCAGGTAGAATGGACCAATCCCAGGCGAAACAGGTGAAGGGGAAATTGGCCTAGTAGGCAAATGTTGTCTTGATGCAAAGTGACAGAAAACCTACCCATTAAAGGAGTAGGTCAAGTTGGTAGAAGGTTTTCAAGCATGATCGAGCATGACTGTTACTGTCGGGGAAAGACTCCAAGCTGACAGGGAGAGGGACACGAGACCCGGATGAAACATCTGATACTTGTCCTGAGATAGTAGGAGAGGGACCAGCTGCAGCCTGATGTATTCTGCAGCTCACGGGAGCAGGATTGAGAACCATGGCTAGCGAGGCAACCAAGCATGACATTTGCACACTCATGTTGGATTCAAACAGCAGTCCTTTGAAGAGGGGGGAAAGGTGGAAACCTGTAAAGGAGGCCCCGTGACCAGTTCATCAGGAAGCGTCCCCTAGGGAATTATGGCTGATGCTGGTTCGGGAGCAACACATGACACACATCTTGTTCGTCTGGGATGCGAAAACATCTATGTCTGTCCCATCAACGACAGAGGTGGTGAAAGATAGCATCAACGAGAGTCCACTCATGAGGACAGGACTGTAGTCTTCTGAGATGGTCTACTACAGAATTGTTTCTGCCTGCGAAATGTACAGCCACTGGATAAATGTGGCAAGCACACCATTCTGAAAGGTCAATGGTGCAAAAGAGAAGGCGTAATGAATGAGCACCGCCCTGCTTGTTTATATAATAAACTGCAGTGGTATTGCCTGATGTGACCTGGACCACCCAACCCCAGAGTAGGGGCTCAGAGGCCCAAAAGGCCTTGGTGTCTGCCAGGACCTCCAGCACAATGACATGAAGGCCGGCTACCAGCGGCCAAGGGCAACGTGGTGGTGCAGACAAGCCCACCCAACTGGCAGGCTGGCATCCACCACTGACTGAACCAACCAGGTCAAGCGACCAATCTTTCTGATACGTGAACTACCATTTTTCTAGCTGCTACTTCTCCTAGCTAAAGCAGAAACCCTATGTGTTCATACAGGGGACTGAGTAACTAATATCTTTTTGTCTACAGAAATGGGGAAAGACTATTGATGTACTGTACATCCCCTAAGGCAACCCCAGATACTACCACACCACTGCAATCTTATTCTTTAAATTTGCTGTCTCCATTTTGGAACTTCAGTCAGATTCTGGAGTTTCAGCATCTAGCCAGAATGATTTGAGGGCTTTTCTGGTTTAATGCCACAAGCCCTGCAATGGCCACCTTGAAGATCAGTCCTACAGAACTCTGATGCTCACCTGTTCATATTCTAGTGGTCCCATAAAGGGATTAACCACTCCTGTTTTGGGATTTTGCACAAGGAAAAAAACAGCTATGTCTCTCTTTTTTATTTCACAGAGAATATCCGTCACTGCAAAAGACATTAAAGAGGGGGAAAAGCAAATTTCCTTTAAGACTGAGTTCCAAGCCTAGTCACAGGAAGAACAAAGGCTGTGTCCTTTGCCCCAGCCAAGATACTTCAGACTAAAGCATGGGAAAGATGGGGTTTTGTGGCAGACATTCTTTCTTGGTTTTGCTTTTAACAACGTCCCTCAAGGATATTTTTTGGACAACTCCCAAACTCCACCAGTTGGAGGAGTCATTGTTCTGGGAGTCATTGTTCCCACTCCTGCAAAAAACAGCAGTTTCCTTGTTCTGTTTGAGACATCAGTGGAACACCTAAGATGGCCTGCCTTTAATCAGCAAATATGCATGCACTGGGACAGGTAGTCTTTGAAGTATCCTAATCTCACGCTGGATGTCCAAAGTCCAAGAAATCCATTTTCTGTTTTATCTGGCACATATAAGAAACTGCATGCATGAATTAAAACAAGATTATTTCAATCCTAGCTCAAGAGGAAATGTCAAGCCCAGCTCTGTCAGTGCTTATGATTCAAGTCCCCAGTTGCCTAAATAGGATGTGTGCCAGCAGAGCACTTTGAGGATTGCCAGAAATAGTCATTAAGGAGATGGGAATTAAATTCTAGGACCAATTCTAACCCTTTATTAGAATGCACCGCTTTCAATACCATCAATTCACACCAGCTAGCCAGCACGTGACCCTTGGAAATTAAATTTCCCATTCTAATACAATTATCATAAAACATTCACATTGATCCTCAAATCAGTGAAAGTTGTCAGCCGGCCACAGGACTAAATTATGATTATGGTAATTATAAGTGCAGAATTTCAAACTAGTTTCCTTAATGCTATTGCTGCTTCTTTATAAACTCAGTATCTTGAGAGTGCACATGTAATTCTTCTATCACTCTAAATGATATAAATAAATTACATACATCATAAACATGTAAATAAGCATGTTCTGCCTCTCTCCTGCAATAATTTTGACACATGGGCTGTTTTTCTCGCTCTGAATATATGTTTGCATTCCAGAGATTGCTTATTTACCTTATATTGCTCAAGAATCTGAGCAGCATTTGTAAAGATACTTTCTGCTTTAAAACGAGCTGTATTATTCAAGTACTCCAGAGGAAGGACACCCTGAAAACACACCAAAAGTCATATTATTTCACAGAGTGAAATTAAAAAAGCATGTACAGGTTTTTACCAGAGAAGAGGACCTGTTGTTGTTGTTTTTTTGCAACAATGTAAAATCCCCCTATGTGCAACTAAGGGTCTCTCTTGCATGGCTGGGGTCTTACATATGCAAACATCTTTTACACACCCACCAAACATACAGCCAACAACAGAAATACAGTAGTCTCTTTTGTTTTGGAGACAAAGCAACTGTCTCAGGCTGAAGAAGGTGTGAGGTTTTTTTTAAAAAACTGAAACCACTCCTCTCCATTTATTTATTGAACATATTAATACCCTGATTTTCCCTTTCAAAAGCTGTTTTCTGCCTTTGGGCCCTTCGACATAGTATAAAATACTCTATGGGCATTACATTAGATTGCAAGCAGATGCAGAATTATGGTTCAGTAACACCTTTATGGGATCACTAAAATATTCCAGAAACGTGGGAAGTTCAAGTTTTCAGGAAAGTACACTGAGCAATGTACTTTGACAGTCCCTGATGATGGCACATTTTTCCAAACCATACAAAGCTGATGTAGGCATGAAAGCGTTCTAGTAGCTGAAGTAGTAATTTTTAGATTGTACACTTCAAGCTACACATGGGAGTTGACAGAGTTTTATGAGAACATAAAAGATTTTCCCATACAGTATTGTCAAACTGACATACAGTATTTTCTATCTACAATGTTTCTCTTTTGACACACAAATCTGTGATGTGTATGTTGCTACACAGATATAAAAAACAAATATAGCTTGCAGATTCTAAGGGCTTGATCATACACGTCAAAAGAACACCAGTTATACAAACTCTGCCATTATTTAAATTTTTCTATAAATTTCCATTCACATGATGCGGGGGGGGGGTTAACATTGAGTCATTTGGCCAGCCAATCTTTTTTTTTCCACCTCACCAGTGGAAAAAGTGATACAGGTAAAATGTACCTGTATCACTTCAATCATTTTCATTTCGGCATGTATGAAAGTTGCTGTCAATTACTTTGCAAACAGGTTGGGGTTTGGGATGCCATGGCCACTATGCTTGTACCCTTTTGTTATTATTATTTTAAAAAATGCTTACTATCTATGGAAAGTTTTTGCAGCACACATGTAAGCCCTGAAACTTGAACAATGAAAGGAGACTGAGGCACAGAGGCAGCTATTATCCAAAACAGAATGAAATAAGAGCGGGGGGGGGGGGGGGAAAAAAGAAATGATTCAAATTGCTCATGTGATCAGGCCCTAAGTCTTTGAGAAATCTAATTATCACTAAGGAAGCCCAAATTTGGGTGCCACAAGTAGGATCAACATTGATTCTCCAGAGTTTCTGCTGTTTTCAGTAGAAAGGAACTAAAATAGCTACAGGCAGCTAAACTACAAGAGAAGGTGCAAAATCTGCTCCACTAAATAAATTAGAGTCTCTATAATTGAGGGGAATGTTTTGTTAAAGAAGGAGTAACGCCATTTCGCTTTACCAACACGTTCTTCTCTGCCCACGCTAAGCCCCATAAAGCAGTGGCAGAATGAGGTTATTTCTGACAAACCTACATCACAAGCATCCCGGAAGGAGCCCAGTCTATTTACAGTCTTATCTTCAACCTCAATTGACACTTCAAAGCAGGGGTGGGCAAAGTTCTCACACCTAATAGCAACCCCCTGTCCCCCCCCAAAAAAAAAAACACTTCTGAAAAAAATAGACACACACCCCAAGGGTGTGACTGGCAATTTCATCAGGTTTTAGAGCCACCATAAGCTATTTTACAGCTACAGGTTCTTCCACCAGATGGGAAATTATTTCCAGATTTCTGTTTTGGAAAACAGGCCTGTCCAGGGTCTCAGACAATTCAAAGGGGGGGGGGGATGAAACTGTTTTCAACAGCCACTAGGGCTTATTAGGGGCTAACTTTTTTTTAAAAAAAGCTAAAAATGTCACAGAGATAGGTGCAGCTCTTCAAGCTCCAGCAGTGAGCTTGTCAGCCAATGGACCTCTGGAAGCTGCCCATTTCAGAATGAAGTGCTGTTACTGAGAATAAAAGCCTAGTGGCTGCAGCTGGCTGCTATTACTGCTAGTGAGAAGCAAGACCAGCCCTTGACTCTAACCCCAATAGAAAAGTTGGCAACTTTTAGGGCAAAACATGGGGTGTGTTACTAGGGGAGGAAGGCACAGCTCTCTGGTTCCCTTCTCAACTACTTTGCTAGGTACTTAATCTGTACAAAGAGCTATATATCAGTGCATCATACATACAGTACATCCCGAAGAGGGAAAGCAATTCTTGCCCATTTAATTGTCAAGAGGAAAACTTACCACTGAGTTCAGAGGAAAAGGCACTCCAATAAGGGAAGCCATCAGTGGTGCGATATCAGCCTACAAACAAAATATTGTCAATTTAAAGCTGAAAAGCAAAACAGAATTAAAGCATTATGATTTTGTTACAATGCAATATACAATGCAGTTTCTCAAGATTTGTGACATAGTTTGTGACAGACCCTGCAAAACAACTGCTCCCATGTTTGAGGCATAACTGGGTCTTATATATTATACTGTTTTTAGGAAATTGAAAATGTGGGTTGGCATAGCAGGAAGGAAGTCTTTCCATAAGCTAGCAGAAGGCCACTTCTGTGAAGCTGGAGGCATTTTTCGGAGGGTTGCAAAGGGAGTGTTGTCTAAGTGAATGAGCAGAGCTTAGTTGGTCTTACCTTCTTCTATTGCAGCTTGTTTGCATTTCGTGCCATCAAGTCACATCCGATTTACAGCAACCGTAATAGGGTTTTTTGAGCTAAGATATTTTAGTAGTTTTAGCAGCACCACCCATGCCTCCCACAGAAAGTGTCCATGGCTGAGTGGAGAGTCACACCCAGATTTCCTCTGTCTTATTCTGTCACTGTACCCACTACACCAACTGGGTACCCTACCATAATTTATTTCTATATATACAGTATATGCATGCCCTGGTAACATCCCATATAGATTACAGCAATGCACTGTTCGTGGGGCTGCCTTTGAAGGCGGTCCGGCGACTGCAATTGGTTCTGAATCGAGCTGCGTGGCTGGTGAGTGGTGGGGCCGCTAGGGGACACATCAGGCCGATTCTGTTTAAATTGCATTGGCTACCAGTCACTGCCCAGGCCCAATTCAAAGTGCCTGTTTTGACATATAAAGCTCTAAACAGCTTGGGCCCTGGATACCTGAAGGACCGCCTCCTTCCATATGAACCTACCCGGCAATTAAGATCTAGCCAGGAGGCCCTCCTGAAAGTGCCATCCCTCAGGGAGGCAAGAGGGATGGTTTGCAGACAAAGGGCTTTTTCAGCACTGCCCCCAGACTATGGAACGCCATCCCAATTGAGATTCATCTGGCCCCGACGCTAATGACATTTCAGCGCAAGGTCAAAACCTTCGTGTTACAGTCAGCGCTGATGTCACCTGTCCTTCAAGGGTTTGGAGGGAAAGATGTCATCCAATGGTGGTCGGAGGGCGGGACATCAGGGGGAGGAGCTGTGTTGTATATATAGAAAGTGGGAGTTTGATGAGAGAGGGAGCAGGAGTTGGGTTCTGTGTGAACACGTGTGGAGAGTCTGTATAAGCTTGAGCCTTTCGTTACCTGATTACATGATATTTGTGTTTTACCAATCCATGTGTACCAATCAATAAACATTTAGTTCTTTTTTTATTTCTAAATCCATTCCTGTCTGTGTGACTCAATTCAGGGAATGGTTGGTGGCAGACTACCGGAAGTGTAGAAGTGTGGTGACGTAGCGACCTTCCTTTGTGAGGTGGAAGGAGGCTGTTACACTTCGTGTTCCAGAAGGCTTTTAATTGAAATAATATCAACTGTGGGTCCTGATGGAAGATTTTAGAGGATTGTATTTTTAATTGTATTTTAATTGTTTTTATTTTTTTATTGAATTCAAATTGTTGTAAGCTGTCCAGAGACCCTTAGGTAGTGTGGGCGGCATATAAATTAAATTAAATTAAATTAAATTAAATTAAATTAAATTAAATTAAATACATACATACATACATACATACATACATACATACATACATACATACATACATACATACATACATATTATATTACTATATATGTGTTATATATATCTCATATATTCTGTTATACTTTATTATAATAAAGTATTGTAGTATTAAGGAGTATCACAAGTCCAATTAGACTGAATAATAGATTAAAGAGTAATACATTATTTTTTATTCATTTCCCTCAAAACCCAATGGGACTAAAATTAAAGAGCAATGAAAATTCACTAAAGACTCCTTTTCATTCATTAACGAATAAATTTAAATAAACTCTGAGAACTGTACAGCTTAAATTTGGTTACTATGGAAAAAGAATGGCAGGATGTATTTAAATAACAAATGGTTGCAAAGCCTGTTTAAATGACAAAGAAGAGATTGAAGGAAGAAAAAAGAAGAGACTTGCAACTGAAGATAATTAAAGCTTTCCTGTGCCAATAAATACTGGAAACCCTTTCACGGAACACCACCCCTCATTGTCCACCACACTGCTGATTTATCTTTTCGCCACAGCTGCATTTTTTAAAAATTAAAAATCAGGCGAGTCCTAGAAGACGCAGGGCATTAAAAAAGAGACTTAGTAACTACTTATGAGCCATGGGTTGCATTTATCGTTATTTCAAAGTCTAAGTAAGAAGTGCCCTATACTGTTGGCAGGGGGTGGGCTGACACTTATAAAGGTCTAAAATAAAAGTTAATGAATTAAGGTCTAAATACAGTTGCTAGCACGGACCACAGTAGACCTACTGAATCAATTCCTGAATAGTAAAGTAACATATATGTTTGTCCTACTGATTCAATGGGTCTACTCTACCTGAGATTAGCAATTAGACTGAAGAGCTACATGTTTCTTCACAGACATAATGTTACTCATATATTAGCCATGGCACCAGTACTACTCTCTGGGCATCACCAAAAATGGCTCTATTGACAGGCAATCCCACTTCAAATTCTGGTTATAGAGTATTGCAATTCTGATCAAGGCTAATGAGCAATAATACTACACCATGGATAAAACAAATAATAGAAAGAAAGATACGTAGTTTCAAGAAACTGTGAGCATTACAATTGCAAGGGTCATGCTGATTTGAACCACCCAGCTGTTTGGCCGTTATGTCTCCAGTTAAAAAACAACATCTGGATACTAAAACTGTAAATCATTCTGTCATTTATATGTCTTTGTAGCTCAAATTTAAGAGAAGTGTTAATGAGCTGTAAGCTAAATACAACTAGGTACCTGACTGACATCCTGCCGCTTCAAGGTCTCCAGCTTCCAATCTATAAAAGAGTAAGGAAAAAGAAAAGAAATGTTGTGATACAAATCTACATGCTGTAAACAGGTCTGAGAGGAAAATATAAGTTTGCTGATGCTTTAAGAGTTTTTACCTTGTTCTACTACATAACATGCTTTTTCTACTAAAAAAAATAATGCTCTCACTTCAGAACACATGTTCAGATATTTGCCAAGAGCACTCAAAACAAATTTATTTGAGCTTTTTCAAATAACATGTCAAGACAAAAGTAATGCGCATATCTTTGAGAAAATCAACATCTTGATGCTATCAACCAGCTTGCTAGATAGGGAATAGGTCTGCCACGCTCTGTACTGGGGGGAGCCTAAAAATATACTGCATAGCTGAGCTTAAAGAATACAGCTCCTAGATTTGTTTTCTCAGGAAATAATCTATGAGTACTAGAGTACTTTACTAGAGTAAAGCATTGAATTGGTGGGGATTTAGCGAGTCAACTCACTGATCCAGTGGGCCTATTCTAATTGTGACTTACTACTGGATTGCATCCTATTTGTGATTAGTTTTAAGTTAGGTCTAATCTTACTTAAACCCTATAATTCTACTCTAGGAGACAAGAAGTTTCACAGAGTGATCACAGGTGAGTGGTAGCAAACATTAAACACAGGGAAATGAAGTATTTAGGGCAATAAGGAAAACTATGGATCTCAGTCACTATTACTTAGAAAAAGGGAAATGCAACTGAATGCCTAGGTTCTTACTGTGGCTAGGTACAGCCATTAACATTGTTCCTTTAGTCAGAATCCTACTAGAAAAATACCATGTACCACAGTAATTATGCTGGTGGTTCACATCCCATGGCTAAGTCTCTGTCATGCAACCAGTCACACACTAGTTGTGAAATCAATTGTGCCAAAGACACCTTGACAAAGGTTGCAAACCTCCTGCACAATTACCATTGTGTGACCGGGTTTTTTTCCCCAAGAGGATTCTGGTCTCTGGCAAAGGTTTGATTACATATGACCAGCGAAGAAATTGTGAAAGGCTGGATTTTCATGGATCCCAAAAATGTATTTCACACACCAAATGGCCAGGTCACACATACTTCCTTTTCTTCTAACAATTCCCTGCATTCTCCCTCCCCTTTTAAAATAATGCCCTCAACTAAAATCAGATGCATACATTTTGCTTCTTTAGGATCCAAGACGTTGCTTAGAAACTTTGTAAAGAACTGTTAACTTTTGTGAGTGCTTTCAAAACTAGAAACAATTACTTTGTGCCATATGAGAACAAATGAAAGTGAAGGAGTTTGAGCCGTTAAGAAAAGCAGCATGAATTCTTTTTCTATATGGTTAATTTTTTTCAGTTAACCATCATTTGCATCTACTTTCCTAAAAAGATGTTTAAGAGGAGCATGGATTGTCCTGAGGGGTGGAACCTATCCCTGGATATCTTGCATCACCTGGAACTGGATGGCATCAGAGAGGGCCTCTCCCTTTGATGTCATCCTGACTCCTCCCTTCTGTGCCAAATAATCACTCAATGGTTTTCTCTGCTTGTCAGAAGGAAGTAAATCAATACTTAGAAGAACTGATCCTCTAGGCATGGTTTGGGCAGCCTCCAGAGGTCCAGGGCCATACCCACACATCCCTGGACCCTCATCCCCAGTTAATGTTATTACAAAAAGGGGGGGCAGTTAGGGGTTCCAGCACTGTTGAGGGAATCCCAGAACATGGGAAAATTGTCCTCATGCCTTCTTCTATAAGGCACATGGCAATTTTAAAAGCATTTTTCAATTAAAAATATTGGGATACAGTGATGCTGGGTGGTACTGGGGATTTATATCTAGGCTCCTTTGGGATGTCTTGAGGCCACACGCCACAAACATTGCCAGCTGCTGGTCTAGATCCTGGCTGACTGTGCAGCTGGCGTCAGCTATCCAGGAAGGAAGGGAAGAGAAGAGTGAGGTAGAAGCAGACTCGAGAAGCTGATGGCTGAGTCTCAAACTAGCTTTGTTCCCTCCTCCCCATAACCAATCGTGGAATGGAAAGGAGGTATGAAGCTGTTTGAGGCAGCATAGCCTCAGTGTGAATTCCTCATGGCCACACAACCTGTTCCTGTCTCCTTCTTGGGCCTGGGAGGAAAGGACTAGGGAAAAGTGTTGCCTGGGGCTTCTAAAACTTTTATAGTGTTGCATGGCAGACCAAATTTGGTCTGGAAGTCCTCCATTTCAATTTACAGCTTGACCCTAAAACACTTTTTACTTAGGAGATAAGTCAGAGATCGGTCTCACCGTGTTCCAAATAAGGAAACTCCAGATTGCAGCCTCTGTTGGTTGTTGTTGTTGTTGTTTAACCTGCAAGCAACTTTCCCTCTAATTTTCTTTGAGTCCTGCACGGAGGCTCTGTGCCTGCACACAGGGTTCCAGCCACAATCAGAAGCAAATGTCTGGCAACACTCACTTAGCTGTGGGCGCCTGAAGCAGTGCTGCACGCTTAATGCGGTTGTGCACACCCATGTGGCTTAGAGGAAACATTGCTTGCAAGGATATTCAATGAAAATCCAAACATCTGAGTGGTCACATTGCTTCTCCTTATGTCCTTTAGTAAAGTTATCGTGAGCTCAAGTGTTGGGCTGCAGTTCCGCATCCGTATCCCTTGTGAGCAATTAAGTCACTTGTATAACCTTCATCAAGCTGTTGCTCTCTGCAAATTGTTTTGGGAAATAAGTCAACTTACCTGTGGTAACTAAGACAAAGATTGCAAAGCACCCTGTGTTTTAAACCCGTACAGAAACAAAACAATACACAGTTCACACATGTAATTCTATTACCTTTCAAAAAATCATCTTCAAATTGTTGTGAGGTGACTCTCTGTGGATATTTGATTCCTGCGCCCCAAGTAACTAGTGGTGTTAAAGTCTCTGATGGATGACTGGCTCCATGTGTCCCTAAGCAAATGGCAAAAAGCAAGTCAAAATTACTTTACAATAAACTGTTATTTCTTAACATCACGCCACTGCTCCTGAGCTTCCATAGCTGTAAGCATTAAATAATACCTTTTAGAACATTTACACCCATCAAGCAGAATATGCTCAAGACCATCAAAAACCACTTCTGCCTAACAATTCCTGTGAATTTATGGATGTATTATACATCCATATGGCTCACTATAAACATACATCTATCCCACTTATCAATTCTCAGCGGGTTTCCAAAGTCAAAGGCAAGGCCTCCCCAGTCCTATGATCCAGAAAACTGGAAAGACCAGAAAATGCATTCTTTTATATGCAAAACATCCGCTCCACCAGTATCACTTCCTAATCTTTACAGAGGGAGCAAGAATGAGTGTGGCTGCATTGTTCAGTCCCAGTGTGTCATGTAGATTCAAGAATGGTTGTTTTGATCCTTCTTTAAAAGTTTTTGACTTTATGCGCGACAAGCAAAAAACATGAAGAGATTCCTAGAGAAGCAGATTTGAGGTTCTCAGGCTGAGGTTGCTATTCTGAGAAATTCATGACTCTGAATCTGGGAATAATTGTATGCAAGACCAACCCAAGATATTTCATTAAGGAAGAAAGGCCTGGGAGTGTACACTGGTCTTCCAGCACCTCCTATCTGTAGCACTTATTTCATTCTGTGTAATAGTAGAGCCAGATCACCCTGTGCTAATGTACAATATGTCCCCTTCCTCTGATTGTATACATTGCAAACAGTTTTTTAAAAGACTACAATCATACTAGGTCATGTTTTCAACCCAAAAGAAAACTGATTCTGAACTTCCTGCCTCTCCGGGAAAGAGGGCACAGAACATAAAACATTTCTTGCTAGCCACTAACTCTGTGATAACCTTCTGAAAGATCTCACCCCAATCTGTCATTCCATGGTCAGAAGTCAAGATAAAAGCTGTGTTGCCGTCATTTCCATAAAAATCCTCAATCACTGAAACAATTTCTTTTATACCTTCATCAACTTTCCTGATATTGTTCTTATACTCCCTGTAGAGGACAGAAAACAACAACATGTTTTGACAGAATAATCATAGTGAAGTTCCTATAAACCTGGGATTGATCTACACCAAACAGAAATGGGTTTTTACAAATTTATTTTGCATTTAGTGTTTTGAACCAGGACTTGAAAGATCCAGATTCCAGTATATGCTGAGCCCTGAAACTCACTGGATGAGGCCAGGTACCTTCTCTCAACCTGATCTCTATCATGGGGTTCTAGCTGTATGGATAAAGTGGAGAGAAGGATAGCTTATATTATATCTGAGATCACTGGAGGAAAGGTGGATTATAAATGTAAATACATGGAATGAATGAATAAGTTTACTTCGCCCATTATACTAGAAACTTGGCACTCTACTAAGAGATACACAGTCATAGTACAGACATGTTTGAAACTTTGGCTGACAGGCAGTATGACAGAACAAGTCCTTGCTCCACTGACACATAACAGTACTGTTATAAAGGAATTAAAGTGTGATGTTGAGGATATGGAGGCAAGCAAACAGGTGAAGGGCTTCAGAGAACCTAGTCCAGTTGTGCTTCCCCTACACTCCTGATGGTCTTTTACCATCTTCTGCCTATGGGACACATTTTTAATACAGTGGGGTCTTGACTTGAGAACTTAATCCGTATTGGAAGGCGGTTCTCAAGTCAAAAAGTTCTCAGGTCAAATCTGCATTTCCCATAGGAATGCATTGAAAACCATTTGATCCGTATCTGCTCTTTTCCGTCCATAGAAACTAATGGGAAGCTGCTATTCTGCCTTCGACCACTAGAGGGGGAATATTTTGTTTCTTTTTTCTTAGGTCAAGAAAGGTTCAGGGAAGGCAGGGAAAATACAGTCCAGGCAGTACAGTACCAGGCAGTCCGAAGACTATCTTCCAATCCACTCTCTAAATACTGGGAGGCGTGAGGAAGGAGACAGGCACCCTTTTCACTGGCCAACAGTTAACTGAAAGTTCAAATTTTGCACTTTCCCTGCCTCCCACATGTTTTTTTTTTAGTTTGTAACTCAAATCTAAGTACGTAAGTCAATATTTTCCTATGAGAGCAGTTCGTAAGTCAAAATGTTCGTAACTCTGGCCGTTCGTAAGTCAAGACCCCAGTGTAGTTGTTCTTGAATTCTGCTGTCCCTTAATGAGTTATGATTTCTCATAATGTGTTTTATCAATGTGAGGTCTTTTTACCTTTCTTCTATGCTGTAAAACTTTCAACCTAAAAGACAGGTTACAAATATTGTAAATAATGTTATATTTCACTGTGTTTTTATGTTTAGGTTTACAGCAGTGTTTTTATGTTTATGGTTTCCCTCCCCCTTTTTTATGTGGGTAAGCAGCCCAGAGTGTTGGTATGCCATTAGATGGGCCCAACAAAAGTCTAACAACAAACAAACAAACAAATTTCCAAAAGGCTGTTTGTCCTGAAAGGTCTCTTAAGTATTTGCTTCTCTGCAAGAATATCTGAAACACAAAGTTTTGCATAGATCCTCCTGACATCCCAATATAAATAACCCAGAAGGTTATATTCTGAACTCAAGGTTGTTTATCCAAAAAGATGTCCAGAAGAGTAGGTGATAGAAACATGAAATCATGCATAGATACTACTAATATCCTGACGTAAGTGGTTAAATCTTGAAATTAAATTTGTTTTTTGTTTTACTCTATAGAACAGATCTTCAAAACAGCAAGACTTCAAAACATAAAATTTTGCATGTATACTAGTGATTGTCCAACTTGAATACTGGGTAGGTAAATAGCTGTAAATTGCTTTGTCCAGAACTCCAATATGACACAGTGAGAACCAGCTTTAAATAGTACCTGATCAAAAGCATTGGTAGATGCTCCCATCACTTAAGTGTTCTCATATAAACTGCAACTACAGTATAGGATCCTTTCTCTCTTGCTACATACTAAGTAATTTATCTATTGTCCACTAGGCTTTTGTCATGTTTATTACTTTTATTTTACCAACTCTGTATTCTAATGAATATTTAAGAAGAAGAAAAATGACCTGGGTTACAATATGCTATGACACAGAATTTTTTTTCCAAACAATATAGGATGAAAACACTGTTCTTTCAGCTATAATAACTGAATAGATACAACTGTGAGACCAGCACTCCTAAATTTATAAACAGGGAGTTCCATTTCTGCTTCAGTTGAAATATTAGAAATGCAGTTAACAAGTGTAATTTTGTTACAATATACTTTTTGTGTACGTAAATCACCCAGAGTAGTTCCACTAAATGAATGATTAACAAAAAAATAAATAAATCAGATTATACATTGGGAAACTTAAGTCTCCAGATGTTGTTAGACTACAACTCCCTGCACTCCTCACCACTGATTACACTGGCTGATGAGAATTCCAGTCCAACATCTGGAAACCCATATTTTGCCTACTACATCAAACAGCAGACCATTTACAAAAGAAAAAGGAGATGTATTTGTATTAGGGCATATTGTTTCTCCCCTTTTCTCAATAGTAACCTTTGACTCATACTACTATCCTCTATCTAGTCCTTTGATAGGTTAGTTTAGTATCATTTGTCGGCCATCTTCCCCCTTCTGAGGGGATGCAAGGCTCACAATGTTAAAATAAAACTAAAATCACAGCAAATTACAGATTAAAAAGCAATTAAACTATGGCAATAATTAAAAATCCATTCAATTATTAAAAACATTTAAAGCTTTAAATATTTGGAAGATGTTATAATATTTGCAGCTGCTCTATGACTTTTATGTTAACTAAACACGTTCAGAAAATGCTTGAAATATTTTGTTACAGCATAGCTAGCCGACTTGCTCAGAAAGATTCATGACTTCAGGTCTCTATGCAGTTCAAATGTATTTAATGTATAGGACATGGCTGAAACAAAAGTGATTTTTTGAAAACACACAAAGGGTATGATCCAATCATTATTAGGTCCTTTTAAGCCCCATTTATTTCAATATGGAAGGTAAGTCCATGTTTAACTCTCTCCCACTGACAATAATGGGTACTTAAAACTGTGTAATTTTGACTATATCATACTCTATTACACTTCAGAAGATAAAAATTAATACAATGTACCTTGAATGTGGCCGATGAGCATGTCCATTTGTGTCTATTCCTAATAAGTGCAGGAAGAAAACTATTTTTGGCTCATGCAATTTAGAGTGCAAAGTTTCATTGTTTCTGGCAGAGTTGAAGAACTCCTAGATGAAAAAGGTCCATTAAACATTATTCTGATCACCAAGAAAGATCCAAAAAGGATTTTGTTGTTCTTGTTGATTATGTCATATAGAAGAAAGTGTGCTGCTTAAAGAAGAGCTAAATTTGGTTAAATTCTTCCATTTGATAATTGCCCTCCATTTCCTTCTACAGGAAAAAAGTAAACAGTTTGGTGTCAATTATGTTACTGAAGTATGAGTAACACATGCCTCTAACTGTAGAAACTTCTGACCTCAACATAAAGGGAACAATCAAATCCCATCCTTGTCTTAACAGTTTCTTAACTAGAATTTTACAAATGTTTCTTATTAACATCTAAAAAGGAAGAGAAAGGCACAAGAAAATACAACATAATTACAGTGCATTACAAAGAGGAACAGCCTTAGCTGATGAAAAATGTCTACTTGCAGTAGCATGCACTTTTCCACAACTACATATCTTGCATTTAGCATTCTTTGTTTTGAGACTGGCCACTGGAAGATAAACATAAACTTAATTTGCAAGTCTGATTGCTGAGACCATATTTCTCATAAAGGAAAACAGATGAATGGGAGGAAATGCGCGGTCCTCTTGATGTCTAGTTTGATCTGGGAAATAGCCCTAAAGAATCAGAGGAGAGCAAAAGATCTGTGTACACAGAGAAAAAAACTGGTAATTCCCTTCTGCCCTGCCAACTCAATCTCTCTCACACACACACAGTCCAGGACAGAAAGATGTACTTCCCCTGAAGCCCAACAGATCAAGAAGAGACACCAGCTATATATACATGATTACCAGATAGCACCTATGAGACCATTTTATATAAAAGGTACCATAACCATGCACAAGGAAAAGAGACAGGCACAAAGGACATACGTATCTCTCTCTCTCTCTCTCTCTCTCTCTCTCTCTCTCTGTGTGTGTGTGTGTTTTATTTGGTAAAAACATGTTGGCTGAAATCCTAGGAGTTGCACTAGAGTAGGCTCACTAAATCAGTGGGGACTTGGTGAGTCAACTCCTCTGTTCAATTCCATTGATTCAAATTGGCCTCCTCTAGTGGAACATACTATGCTAAGCAACAAGATTGCAGCCAGTGGGTCTTCTAATATGTGTTTGGTCTGATCTAGGCACATCAGATGCAAAAGAAATGTTTTAATTTACCTTAACATGATCAAAAACCCAAGTGTCTAGAACAGTGGCATCTTCTGCAGCAAAGTCTTCACTTTCAGCCTTGTAACAATGGGTGTAAACATGATCTCCAGTAGCACCTGCAACGAATCACCCAGATGAGGAATTTTGTTTTTTTAAAAATGAAGAAACAGTAATAAGAGTGTTGTTATATTCAGCCTTTAAAGATACAGCCAGGGACAGCCCGGACTTTAATTTAATGAATAATAACTTTACAACAGGAGTAGACAAGCTGATATTCTCCCAACATTTTGGACTGGAATGTCCTGTCATTCCTAGAATACCCTGCTTTACCTACTCTTTATGTATTCTTCTTTTACAAGGTTAAAGAATCACAAAACCAGGCATTAATCAGGAGCACACAATGTACCAGGACACAGGTAACTAAAGTTCTGTATGCTCATAGTGTTGGCTTGTCAGAGAAGAGACCAGCTCTAAGAGTTCAAAGAAACCAATTACAAATATAATATAAAAGTCATCACAGAATACATCATACCAAGAAATAAAAAAATTATACTACTGTGCTTGGTGAAAAATGTTGTAGCGAATGTTGATATACAAATGACCGCTATACTTCCTACAATGGCCAAGTATGTACTGGCCAATTCTAGCAGAACAAAAACAGTCCAATAATAGTTGACTGGCTAAAGAAGATGTGGGAAATGACACTAACGTTGAAATATACCTATTTCAAAAAGGAATTAAATTATGCACAAAATAATCAGTTTATTGAAAGATGGGCCTTGTTTATCAGTTCCTGGATTGAAAAAAAAATGAAAATTCTTTTCTCTTCTACTTATTCAGCCTACTTTAAGTGTGTTTTTGTTTTTCTTTTAAAATGGTATATAAATATAGCTATTTCTTTTTATAGTGTCTACTTAATATATATGCTCTTGAATTGTTGGTTAATATTTAATTTCTTTAGTTTATTCATAAACCAGCCTTGATGAACCTGCTAGAATCTGGGGTGTGTGTTGTTGTTTTTTTGAAAATTTTGTAATAAAGAGACTTAAATGAAAATAAATATATAAAACATTTTTTAAATTACAGAACAAAAGTCAGAATCCTGTTAGTTACACTTTCTGGCAAAACCCCATCAGTCTAATTCTCAGCTGCAAACTACTGCAAGTTAGAAAGTTGGTAGAGGCATGCACAAGCTGCTGCACGTCAGTTGCATGACTGTTGTGCACAACATCCACTGCTTACATTGACTTTTTAAGTTACAGCAATTTGCTTTTGAACTTTATACCAATGGAGTTATGTCAGAATAATTTACCAGTTGGATTCTGGCCAATGAACTACCTGTAACATTCCACACAACAGTCTGATGTTCAGCAAAAGCAACAAGTTAAAAAAAAAGTTGCTTGTAGTGAATTTGGGAGAAGCATAATAAAGCAACATATAACAGTTTAAGAGAGTGACTCATGGTTAGCCCTCTACAAGCTAAGTAAACAAGATGTGTCCAGTAAACAACAACAGCCTTCTCATTAGGGTGGATTTTGAGAAAACGAACAAACAAACAAAACTGTCACCATGGTTTGTAGTGCAGAAAATACAAAAATGAGCATAAATATGCAGAACATATATAGATTGGTGATTCCTAACAGCATCTCCCCTTGAATCAACTGTTGAATGGTGAGTCAATATATATTTAAATACTATTGATTCAATGGATGGACTCTGATTGGGACTACCAATTCTATTCAGCCAGCATGTTTTCAACAGCAACAGATCACATGTCTCCAAAAGAGCTGCCTTTTCTGGCATGTGCAAATTCAAAGCACAATCTGAATACAATGGTGCCTCGCATTACGATGTTAATTCATTCCAGCGAAATCACTGCAGAATGAAAACGTCATAATTTAAAAAAAAACCATCGAAACGCATTAAAACCCGTTTAATGCATTCCAACGGGCTAAAAACTCACCGTCCAGCGAAGATCCTCCATAGGGCGGCCATTTTCGGTGGCTGTCTTGTGAGGAATCCGTCCCAGAAAACAGCGGGGAGCCATTTTATTTATCCGGCAGCCATTTTGAAACCGCCGATCAGCTGTAGGAAAATCGTTGTTTTGCGAAGAATCGGTTCCCGAAGCAGGGAACTGATCATCGCAAAGCGAAAAAAGCCTATTCAGTTCATTGTTTTGTGATCGCAAAAGCGATTGCAAAAATGTCATCATAATGTGGTTTCGTTGTAATGTGGGGCAATCGTAAAGCGGGGCACGACTGTACAGTACTGCATTCTGTAGGAAGTCTTTTGGAAAATAAGTACCAGTAAGGTTAAACATGCTTACCTTTGGCAAACATAGGCAGAATGTCTGGACTTCCCCAGCTCCAAGTATATTTACTTTCATTGAAAATAGAATCAAATTCCACTGGGTTTTCTTTCCATCCTGTTCATCAAAAGACATATTCTTATTGCTGCATGTTACTTAGAGAAGGAGAGCTAGATTTTGTTGTGGGAGTATAATGATAGCAAAACACATTTGGGAGAAGTGAATACAGTCATATTTAGTAAGAACACTCACAACCACATTTATATGATCATGCAGATATTTTATCATTGGTCATACACACCACTTTCCATACAAAATAGGAAGCTACAGCTGGCTGCAGCAGTCAAGCACTCGTATATTCCGAAAAATGAACAAACATATGCATATCATAACTTACAGTATACATTCTTCTTTCACAGAACAGAATTCTTACATATGGATCAGCTACTAAGTGCACTATATACACTAACATAACATCAAAAGTCTTAACCAGATATATTTGTTAGCTACCTTAACCCCACAATAAACCTGAGAGAAAACTCAGTGTATGACATATTTTGCATCATACCTCCTGCAGGAACACTTTGAACAGCTGATCAAAGTTATTTTCCCTTTTTCCTTTAACTCTGATGACAGTTAAAGCCTAGTCTTAATTCCCAGATACAAGCAGAAAATCAATTATGTATACATGTTAGTGAGAGTCAAGCCTCTTTGAACTCAATAGCCTAAATCCAATTGTTAGTTTCAACTAGAGTAGACCAATTTTTAAAAAAATGTTACTTACTTAAGCACTGAGTATCCACTCAAGTAACAGACCTACTCTATTGGGGACTAACAATAGCATTTAGGTTATTAGGACTTTTCAGTAGGGAAGCATCAGATTCTGCAGTAAAGGTTCTTATTTTCTCTTTCAAATAGCAGGTGCATACTGAAGACTACCATTCGAGGTAATGTTCACAGCAGTTCAGTTTCTCCAAAAATAGTTTATATACATTTTTATTAATATTTATAAAGAACAGAAATATTTAAAGAATAATACTGAATAATATTTAAAGAACAGAAAAACAACAGGAATATATCATTTATGTTGAAACAAATAAACTCAGCATAAGCATAATTCCCATTCCTTTGAATTGCAAAGTAGCAGGGCTTGGGAAATACTAGAGGAAACCAAATTAAGGACGTTCATGGAAGAAAATTCTCCTGATCCTCTTTCATATTTGCAGCCCTGAAAAATGTTCAGAGGATCAGGGATAATGTCCAGAGAGGCTTTTGGGCTGAGGGCTTGCATATAGAAGACACAAACGTCCATGAACCTCCTTCCATTGATTTATCTCAGGAACCAAGAAATAATCATTTGAGAATTAGTCACAAAATATTGTAACAGCTTATCAGTTTATTAAAACAAATCATTGCGTGGATGGATCAGCTATTGGCCTACCTCTAGCAACAGCACTGACGTCTTCATAAAATCCAGCGATGAGGGCTACGTGCCCAGGTCTAGATTCTGTCGGGACACGAGTATGAGATACGCCCCAGCTCCCTTTGGATAGTATGATGTGCCTGAAAGTAAGACACAAGGCTTATGAGTACATGGATTTGTAACTTAACAAAGGTGATGGACGAATTCGAGTCAAAATAAAGTGGTTCCGCTTTTTAAGCTACTGTGAAGAAAATTGTACCATGCTCCAAGATTTTGTGCACAGAATTTATTAGATATTGAGTTCTTTGCCACAATGTGCACCTTCAGTATAGAATTCATAGGAGCAAGCCTCAGGCCTCTCACAACCATGACACTTCCAGTGTACAGTAATGATGCTTTGCTATTTTAGGTAAAGGTAAAGGTTCCCCTTGACAATTTTTGTCCGGTCGTATTCGACTCTAGGGGGCGGTGCTCATCCCCGTTTCCAAGCCATAGAGCCAGCGTTTTGTCCGAAGACAATCTTCCGTGGTCACATGGCCAGTGCGCCTTAGACACGGAACGCTGTTCCCTTCCCACCAAGGTGGTCCCTATTGATCTACTTGCATTTGCATGCTTTCGAACCGCTAGGTTGGCGGGAGCTGGGACAAGCGACAGGTGCTCACTCCGTCTCGTGGATTCAATCTTATGACTGCTTGGTCTTCTGACCCTGCAGCACAGGCTTCTGCGGTTTAGCCCGCAGCGCCACCACGTCCCTTTTGCTATTTTACCTACCTAATAATAAGTAACTGGAGTTATGCTGAACTATGGTTTATTGAAACAGATAGGATCAAGTGATAATTTATTATTTATTTTTGAAAAAAAACTAACCATGGAGCTTCAAACTTAGCTGTAGCAATAAAAGTATACAGAAATTAGATACTTTTTATCTCCTTTTCATGCCCAGGAGGAGGAGGAAAGAAAAGAAGAAAAAGCATGACCTCAATGTTTACTCAGGCTTGTTTCCACAACAATAAAACTGTGGCTCATCATAGTATCCAAACCAAGTCAGCCCCTTGTGTTCATACTTTACTGACAATTTCAAAATTTCTGAAAGCAGAGTGGATTTTAAAAAATCAATTATTTTTAAAAAATCTAATTGATTAAAATCACAATTTAAATCCATTTTTTAAAATTTAAATTGTGATTTAAATTGTGATTTAAATCCACTTGGTTTAAATCAAGTCCACCCAGTCTGAAAGTGTGAAAATGAGTATACTGCTTTAGGTTTAGCAAGGATACACTACACATTTTGACCTCTGAGATAAGCAGTATGCTTATTCTATACTGAAAACAATGTTTTAATGGTAATTTAATGATTCTCCAGTACATTTGACCTGTATCTCCAGCATGCTGGTGCAAATCATTTCTACTGCATTTAGTGAGAATATTGTTATTGACCTTAGGCGTTGGCTATATTTCTCAGACATAATAACTAAATTTGAAGACAGGGAGTCTATTCAGGTTAGGCATTACAGAACTAGGGGTGGAGATGAAGAAACATAAAAGTTCAGAAATCAATGCAGGCGAGGCTTCCTTGTTTAAAGCAACTTCCAAAATGAATACTTAGAAAAAACTTTTAGTTCTAATCAGTACTAAATGTTCACTCTAGATACAACAAAAGCAGGGCAAAAGAAGACATAATCATCAGCTAGATAAGGGGCTGAAAAACCAGATCACACTTTCCTTCCTCCGATTCAAAGGTTTCTGCCCTCTGCCTGAAGGCTTCCTGGATTGGATCACTCCACTGCTGAGATAGGACAGTTCATACAGTACTCTGTTATCATAGCTCCCCTTAAACAGAAAAGTAGTAGAGCAGAAATTCGTTGCTGTACTTTGCCCTGAAGTGAAATGGTCCTGCATAACCTCTGTTAAACAAGGGGAAATAATGTATGAGAAAAGTGAGACAAATGAGATTTGCTGGAAGAGATTCATGGCATGCCTCAAGAAATGCCATGCCACTCCCAGAGAAACCTAATCTAGAAATTTACTGGAGTCCAGTATCACAAAAGGAATCGGATGCATAGAATGCTACACTTACTTGATGCTTTATGATTTGTACAGGTTGTCTCATCCAAGCAAATGCAGTGAAAGTTTGAAAATCCATGCCTGCAGCAGGTGTCTCATCCAAGCAAATGTAGTAATGAAAGTTTGAAAATCCATGCCTGCAGCAGAGAAGTAGTATAGAACCTCCAAGTCTTAATAATTCAAGCATTGCTCTAGCTGGAACACTATATTTTACAAGGTGCTCCTGTACAACTCTCTTGCAGGCATAAGCAATGTGGGATGCCCTCCAGATGTTCTGGACCACAACACCCATCATCCTCAGCAATGCTCTGTACAACAGAGCCCACTTAATATGCTGGGGTGGGCAAGCAGACAACAGTGCCAAGTGAGACTCAAAGCAGTCTATGACAGGCTCTCACTAACGTATCTGCTTAGATATACATCAGAACCAACAAGCATTCCTCACGGTGTTCCAAGTCTTTGTGGAAGTGCAGCAAGGCCTCACCTCTCTCTCACTCCAGCCCTTTGTGTTCACCAGAGGTGTTGAGGAAGAGGCAGGTCTTCTGTGTCACTTGCAGGAAGTGTTGGAGAAGAACAGAATGAACAGGAAAAAATGTTTGTTACTTCCGACCACTTGTGCAGGGCAGAAAAGGTTTTAGCCATCCAGCAAATATGGAAGGCTAAGGGGAAAGACAGGAGCCTGCTTAGAAGAGGATGAAAACATTTCTCCTACTTCTCTCCTTCACCAAGCTTTCTGGCAAATTGGAGAAGAACCAGCATCTCCCCAGAGTTCTCTGGACGGAGGCAGCTGGGGATTGTAGTTCCACTGAGTAGAAGTTGGATAAGAAATGAAATGTGCTACAGTCCATGAAAATCTATGTCACAATAAATGTCTTAGCGAATCAGGATTCTTTTGCTGCAAGTAAATAACATGGCTGCACCTCTGGAAACAGTTACCTCAGGTAATGAGCATTAGAAGTGCCATCGTCATCTACTTCATAAAGCGAGTCTGCACGTAAACCATCAGCGACAAAAAGTACTAAGCGCTGTGCTGGTGGAGGCAGTGGTGTGTGCTGAGGAGTCATGCCATGGACCAAAGGAGACGTGAAGTAAATATCAAAGATAGAGATCAGGAACACACAGTGTACCAGGAGACCAGCAACAATAAAAATCTGCATGTTCATGGCGACAGCTTGTCAGAGGAGAGTCCAGCTCTAAGAGATGAAAAGAATTACAGATCAGGCATGCAACCAATTACAATTATAGGTTGTTGTGTGGACCAAGAATACACAATAATTAGTTGCATTAGACAATAATTAGTTGCATTAGAGGCCATAATTCCATGAGGGCAAATCAAACCTGTTAGCCATTTTAGTTTTTTACAAAAGAAAACAACTGAGAATTCCAACAAAATAAATTAAAATGCATAAACAGCATTGAGACCTGAAGCTTTTGGTTTAGAAAATCTACATCCATATTTGTTTATCTCCTTCAGGCATTCTTAAAGTTCCTAGAAAAGCATCTTGTGAAGATATCTTATTTATCAGCCTGGATTCTATAAACTCTGTCCCAAGGGCTGAACCTGAGGGTACTCCGGGCAAGGATCTTTCTACCTCCCCACCCCAACACATGGTTTCTAGAGAGTGTGCAGGATGGGAATAGGAACAGGCAAGCAGGCAGCGGTATTTAGTCTGGTGCTGTGAAAAGAAGCATCAGCCAAAGGAGCACTGCCAACAGAGGCTTTGTGAGGAAGTGAAGATGGCAGCCACTTCACCTAATGCTTCTCTTTAAATCCAATGGATGAATGTCTCTCTGTAAGAAAGTCTTCTTTAAAGGAAAAGCAGTGTTTGTGACCAGCATCAGCTGCAGTGGGACCCAGCATTTGCCACACTGTGCAATGGATGCCCTGGCAACAGAAATGTCATCCTGATACTAGTGTTGCCTCTTGTGCCCTAAAAATGACTCACAGCCAAGCTATACAAAGCAATAAGCCACAGACTGACTCATTTTTCTACCCCATCATCCATACCTTTAAGGGCTACACTTATCCTCCCTCTCATACACAAAGTCAAACAAACTGAAGGTTGTTTCTGTTTTGTTTTTCAAATCTATTTGGTGTAGCAAGAGGTTCCAGTGGTGGCAAACAGCACAAAAATTGACATTCACACCCATTTGGAGTCATTTGGAAATATCCCTGTCTATAGATGGGGCAGGATTCTGGATGATTACAGGTGGGTCACACACAAACCTTAGGATACCCAATTCCCATTTCTGCAGTAGACTTTCAGAATAGTATTCTGTAAGGTTATCAGAGGACAATCCCATAACTGCAGGAAGGCCAGTCATGCCTACCACAGGTGTAGTTCCCTTCATGGACCCCATGACCTCCCTGAAGTTCAAGGCCTACCATGGACACCTGCCACGTACTCGCCTGTCCCTTGGTTCTTTCACCAATCAAAGGGCACAAGCTACATGTCATGTCGCTAATGTCAAGACTCTAATGGATAACCACGTCACGTCAAGACTTTAACGGATAACCACTTCTTACCACAGGTCCTAACCTCTCCTAGCTAGGAATACCTTCAAACTCAAGCCAATTCAATTTTTTTCCACTGGATTGTTTTGTGCCACCAATTTGTCACATTCCCACCTGTCCCTGGGTTGTTTCACCAATCAAACGGAACAAGCTACATGTCGCGTCGCTGCCACCAGTTGATTACATCAACATTGTTTATTATCAATCACAGAGGTCCAGGCAAAGTGTCATTTTGAAAAGAACCAAATAGAAATTGTTTATTATTACAGTTGATGAAGGTATAATCAATGTAGTTATATCTTCTTCGTACACTCTCAACTGCCAACCGTAGATGAAGGTATGATCAATGTAGTTAACTCTTAACAAAACATCCTTCTTCGTACACTCTCAACTGCCAACCGTCTCTCTCTACTCCAAAACACAAATCCTCTAATCCAGAAGTCCCCAACCTCTCGCGCATGTGTGAAGGAGAGGGAGAGTGCTCGTGTGGTCATGCTTGCGCTCATGCGCAAATGGCAGGGCGCGCTCATGTGCATGTGCAAACGGCAGGGCGGTGCTCAGGCACATGCACAAAAGGGTGGGGGAGCAGTTGTGTGGGTGCTAGTGCACACATGCGCAAAGGGTCTCTGCCGAGGGCAGTGTGTGCGAGGGTGGGTGGGAGGTCTGTCTTTGCGGCCCAATCTGGCTCAGGCCACGGACCGGCAATGGGCCACGGACCGGGGGTTGGGGACCTCTGCTCTAATCCCCCATCTCCTCCCCGTGCAGAGATTCTTACATCTCATGACTCCACCTCTCCAACACTCTCATTGGTCCATTCAGATAGCATATTAATATTCATGACACCATATCTAGGATTCACACTAACCCTAACAAACTGAGGCTGCCCCCAATCCAGTCCAGTCCAACATTTTACATATATTTTAAGAGCGCAGGCCACAGCTCTTGGGAACCGAAGTAGAACAAAAGAAGTTTTCGCAGCTCTATTACTGCCTGATAAGAAGACTTCTTTCTTTCTTCAATTTCTTCAAGTAATGTTGGAGGGAAATCTACTACCAGAGTGCCTGTGAAGATTTTTTCCCACTATGGAAACTGTATTTCTTTTGCTGATTCAGGCCTTCCAAGATTAATGGAAATGTCAACATAATAAGGCAATATGCAGACCTAGTTTTCCCAAAGCCACAACGGCAAACGAAAATTTCAGACACTTCACATTGTTGGAGATGCTGAGCTCATCCCCCCCCCCTTTAAAGACTACAATATAAATCTTCACAAAATCTGCAACCATTTGTTTTCCATTTCTATTTATGTTTCCAATACATGGTGAAATATGTACAAAGCATTATTCAGATGAATATGCTATGCTAGTGTGAAGCTATATTTAAAAGTGTCAAGGTAAGTCACTAAAAATACTTTAGTAATCTCTTTCAGAAGCATCGTGCTCCAACGAGCAATATATTCCTGCTGTATATAATTTAAAAGCATCAACTAAAAATGCATTTTCAATAACCGTCAATGCCATGGCACGTCTGTTACAAAAGGGTATGATTATCGGCTATTTTTCTAGTTGACAGGTTTTAAAAAAAACATTACACAAGATTTAATTCAAACTGTCAAAGAGATATGAAACAATTCATCCGTAAATAAATGGAAACCAGAGAGGAATGTCACCTCTGTTAAAATATTAAACTGATACTACCATATTGTTCAGCATTAAGAATACTTCTGTACATTAACCAGGTTTTCAGACTGCATTCATATTGCTTCTCTAAGTTGCATATAGACAGTCTCTGTTACATTATTCTACACCAGGGTTTTAAAAACCTACACACAGTGATATTCCCACCTATGAGAAGATAAAATTAACATGAATTAATTTGCATGATGCATATGATTCATTGTATATTTCAGTTTATACACATTTACACTGAAATATGTTTGGTAACTCACATCATACAATATGTTAAAATGCCTTTATAATGAATATACTCATGAGTGTTTTGCACATTACAATAACAAATGTCACCTGTTTTAAATTGTTAATATGGCTCAGCTATGCAGAAGATTATTGCAGCAGTATGAATACAACCTGAGGCACAAAGCTTCCCAAGAGCGAAATATTCCATTTAATATTACTCAACTTGTCAAGCCAACATTCAGCATTGACAATTCCTTCGCAAAATATCCAAGGGAAAAGAATATGATTATCTGCTGTCCTGACTTGTAGGTCATGAAGCAACTGTTTCACATTCAAGACATGCTCCTTTGAACTTTCTGTTGAATTTCCTAGGCGACAGCTATTCAATCTGCCCTCTGGTGCAACCCCAAAATATGGGGTGCATGACACAGAAAGACCAACAAGTCTTTCAGAAGCCATAGCAGAATTTGGCTAAGACCATCACAACAACTCTCAGAAGGTTTACAGCACCATAGACCAAAGGCAAGCAACAAGCAAATCTTTAAATGTTGCAAGACTGCAGCTGACATCATGTTTCACTATTTGCCTCACTTACGAGGAGTGATGGGAATTGTAGTCTATCACCAGTGATATGGGCCTCTTTTAATAATAATTTTTAATGACACCATGAACGAAGGTTATGGTCAAGCATTTTTCCTTTAAGCCCTCCTATAATCCCACTCCCACTAAAGGCCAATTTTACCATAAATTCCCAATAACATCCCAACAATGGAATCCAACCTTGAGGTTTGCTTGCTTGCTTATTTGCTTGCATGTTTAATTTATACTGCCCATCTAATGGCATGCCACTACTAAAGCTGTTTACCGAACTTACAAAATGAAACCACAATGTGGGCTATATTTAAAAGTTAGACAATTGCCTAGTGATGGAGCTTATACTGGATCCAAATGCACTCACTGAGGGCTGCACCCCTATTATTTTTCTTTCTGTGAATTTCAACAGAAAAATGACAAGAGGGGAAAGTAGGAGGAACCAATAGGAAGTTTGGCTCTGGAGAGCAGTGGTTTTGCTGGTACGAGTGGAGTTTTACAGTTCCTTGCAGTGGTTATTCCATTTTCACGCTCTTTGCTAGCAGATACAGCATCATCACCAATTTCTGTAGCAGTTTTGGTGGCAGGAGACACGGAATCAGCCTTTGGAGGCTGTCATGCATTGCCAGCCACTGCAATAGCCAGAAAAGTACCCCCCACTACTCAATTGTAAAGAGTTCTACCAAGAGAGAAACATAAACTCAGAGAATGCTTGCATTATACTACAGGCTCAAGGAAACATTATATTAGAATATTCTACATGATATAATTATATTATTGTCTGCACAAAAAGAAAACCAAGCGACAGGGACAGGGTCCACATGAATAAGGAAGAAAGGACAGTACAATTGACACCAAGTGAGGGGGCAACAATGCCATTGGTAACTCAGCAGGAATGTGCCATCATGACTAGTGAATTTAAATGTGGCCTCTACTCGGCATGCACAAAGCTAACTAACTAACTAACTAACTAACTAACTAACTAACTAACTAACTAACTAACTAACTAACTAACTAACTAACTAACTAACTAACTAACTAACTAACTAACTAACTAACTAACTAACTAACTAACTAACTAACTAACTAACTAACTAACTAATGGTTGCTTTTTTATTGGGACTGCTGGAGGCGTGGAGTTATGAGGTCTAAGAGACTCAGCAGCAGCAGGAGGAGTTTAGATAGGGTTTTGAGATAGAGAGATTTGGCGTTTGGGTGGGAGAGTGGTAGTTGAGAAAGATAAAGGAGAATGTTTGTTTAAGAGTTAATAACATTGCTTGTCCTGTCGCCACCTGTATCAATAAACAATTTCTACTTGGTTCTTTTAAAATGACATAAGGCCTGGACCTTCATTATTAATAAAAGGTCCTCGTAGGTATCCTTCATTCTCAAGAGACTATGGTAATATGCTCTGTATGGAGGACTTGGAACAGCATCTAGTGTGGCTGAGAAAGCCAATTCGAGAGTAACAATCCCTTCCACACCGAAGACAAATATAATCTGTCCCCTGTCCAGCTCCCTGATTTTGCTAGTTTCGGGACTGCCTCTTCACCTCAGCCTGCTGGACAAGGGTGTCTTCAAATTGGGAGAGGCCATGAACCACCTACTTGCACCTTTCTGGCTCCCTGTCAGGGGCTACTGTTATTTAGGTGCAGATAGGATTGCTCCATTTTGGTTCATTTCCAGCATGTGAGATTGCTGGGATTGAATCAAAGCAAACCCTTCTGCTTTAAATTGCCCATTCAGTTTCAATTTCCCAATACAGTATTGCTAAGCTTAGCATTTAAGGATATTGGGAAATTAAAAACTTCCTCTGGGTCAGAGGGAGGAAGCAAAAAAATAAAAATAAAGCAGCACTGATGCATTGTATCTTTTGGGGGAGAAATGGAAAGCTTCCTCCCAGAAGGAGGGTGAGACAAAAGAGGGCAAGGGGGTAGATTTTGTTCTTGTTGTTTTCTTTCTTGTCTTAAAGGAGACAGGCCAAATAGAGTTGCTTGAGGTGTGTAAGCCAGGTGGATGCAAGGATCACATCAAAAGGTATACTGGACCTCAATGCAACCTTAAGACACCTTATTTAGCTTGCTCCAGTCTGAACCATCTAGTCAAGTCCAGAGTTACTGTCAAAATAAATACAGTGGTACCTTGACTTACGAACTTAATCCGTATTGGAATGGCATTCGTACATCGAAAAGTTAGTTGAGGCAAGATTTCCCATAGGATTGCATTGAAAACCATTTAATCCATTCAGGATTTTTTTGTTCATATGTCGAGGCACTGTTCGTAAGTAGAGGCATTAGTTCCCATAGGAACTAATGCAAAGCCGGTTAATCCATGCTCTACTACTAGGGGGAGAATTTTTCTTCTTTTGACCTAAGTCCTAAAATGAACTCAGGTCAAAAAAGGGGCCGGAAAGGTTTTCTTTTTTCATTTGAAGGCGAGGCTCTGTTCGCAAGTCGAAGCAACATTTTGCAAATGGAGCCATTCATAATGCGAAATGTTCACAAGTGGAGATGTTTATAAGTCGAGGTACCACTGTATGAGAAAGGATGATTCGCATTTGTAAAGAAAAGTGGGATGTCGCCATAATAAATAAAATAATTTTCCCAGCTGACTTTGTTAATCCAGTTCTCTACATTCTGAGCTAAAAATTTTCTTTCTACAGTACAACTGAAGAATTCTCAAGATTATTTGCAACATAAGACAATCCACAATTAATGTAAAAAGATTAAATCAGTCTATAATTAAAGTAACACCAAATTCAACTATAAATAAATGATCGATTAAGTATTATTTTAAACCACACAAAACTAAAATTGTTCATCTGCACTACCATTATTTCTCTTCCTCTCTATATCATTAGCCAAACCACTACAAATGTCATCATATCATTAGCTCACAGTAAGTCTTCCAATGCCCAAATGAATTGGAAAATAATTTTGCCTGGTACCCAAAGGAGAACAACACTGGTGCTAGGCAAACATCTTTGGCAAAAACCTTCCACTGCTTGCCTTGGATGAAGTGGGAACTCACCTGGTTTTGTGGCAACAAGATCCCCCTTCACATGCAACTTCTCCATATAGTAAAGAAGGAGTCAGGCATCACAGGTCCTGGGTATTTTGAGTGCACTGCACTTCTTGGAGAGAAATATCTAATGAATGCAAGAGTCCAATAATCCCACTCAGTATATTCTCTCTTCTTCACCTGTGTAGAGTATCATGTCCTTGTGGCGCCAGATGCAACAAGAGGGGGATGATGTTCTTGGTGCACTTCTTTATATCTGGAGTCCCTAGAACAGAATAACCACAACTGCTGTGTACTGTTCTATGAATACATCTGCCCCAGCCATACTTATTAGCCTTCACCGTCAGCATTCAGAGAGCACTTGTTTTTTTTTCTTTTCTTCCTTTTACCATGATATTTATATTCAGTATCCATGGGGGACTTGGAACCAATCCCCAGCAGATATGGAAGTCCTACTGTAATTCTATTTTATTCATATAATACTCCAAGAAAACACTGTAGTGTGTGCTGTATATCACTAGGAGGATAGGCTTGCTAAGAAAAGACTCCTCTTTTTAAAATTTAGTATAATCATCAAATGCCTAAGCAGATCTATAGCTACAGCTGCAAGCTCTTTTACATTCTATAAAGCATTAGACCTTAAAAATTAGGAACATTTATTATTTAGAACAACAAACAGTCTTATGGCACCTCCAAAGCAATAAAACTCTACCTAGCATACTCTTTCACAGATTGTAAACTGCTTCATCTGATGAAGTGGGGCTACAATCCAGGAAAGCCTTATGAACTCAATATTTGATAGTCCAAAAGATGCCACAAGGCTCTTTGTTGTTTTTGTTACTTAGCTACCTCACTATAATCATTTAGTTGCCAGCAACTCTGCAAAAGTTGGCCCAATATTTCAACCGGATTTCTTGACCAATTCAAACAGCTAACAATCAGTACATTCCTGAGGCATCTCCCCTCTCCCAAAATCGCTATTTTTCCATGAATTGCTGTCGTTGTGCTATCAAGTTGGAATCTCCGTAAATATTGTTTCTTGTCCATCCAACTTCAATAGGCCAAAAGCCCCTGCTTAAGCTATATGGGTTTCTTCAAGACACATCATATGGTGCACAATGGTGGAGGATGGGCTTTCACTTAACTAGGGCTTATTTTTGGGGTAGGGCTTATATTACGAGCATCCTGAAAAATCATACTAGGGCTTATTTTAAGGTTAGGTCTCATTTTCAGGGAAACAGGGTAGGATAATTTATTATTCGTGCTACATTAATTGTAGCATATTCTTCTCACAAACATCTTCTCAAAAGGTAATATATATGGCTTTTTCCACCCACCCACTATCTTGCCATGTCCCCATAATCACCCACTGCAGTACATGAAGCTGAATGAAAGCAAGTATTAGCCCTGCAACTGAGTCTGTGACTGAGTTAGATTGAAGCCAGAGCTTTTCTAAATCATGACAGCATTGCTTTTCAACTGAGGAGCTGGGACAGAATACCAGTTCAGAGGCTGATCTAGAACAGACTGTGAAGGAGGCACTGGTGTCAGTGAGCCGTCCATGATAACTAAGGCTAATACAGAAGATAGAGAATGTAAGAAAAGTGAAGAACTACAGAAGTCAGGGCGGACTGTTGTACCAAAGGCGGGAGAAACTGAACCGATGGAAAAGGCGGGAAAGGTAGATGTTTGTTTAGTAGAAGAAGGTAAGAGCGGGAAGGAGGCAGAGCAGGAGTTGACAGTTTAGGAGGAGGATATAAATGAAGAGGGAGTACGCTGCTTCAGCTCAGTGATAGCAGAATATGGGAATAAGAGAATCGAGGCACGTAAGAAGGCGTTTGAAAACACAAGACATCAGGGGCTCTTGAGAGAGTTTCAAAGGTAGATGTTTGTTTAGTAGAAGAAGGTAAGAGCGGGAAGGAGGCAGAGCAGGAGTTGACAGTTTAGGAGGAGGATATAAATGAAGAGGGAGTACGCTGCTTCAGCTCAGTGATAGCAGAATATGGGAATAAGAGAATCGAGGCACGTAAGAAGGCGTTTGAAAACACAAGACATCAGGGGCTCTTGAGAGAGTTTCCCAATTTGCGGGCTGCTTCAGCTCAGTGTATGAGAATAAGAGGATCGAAGCACGTAAGAAGGCGTTTGAAAACATAAGACATCAGGGGCTCTTGAGAGAGTTTCCCAATTTGCATGTTGGAGGGCTCTTGCCAGAACCAGGCATTAAGGAAAAGAAGCTAATCCAGTACGTGACTAGAGAGTGGACGGTGATCGTGGCGCCTAGGGAACTGGAGCTACAACATGAGGCAGAGATCACGCATAATCGGTTTTACGACCGTCCAGACGAGAGAGGCTGCATCCGCCATGCCTGTTGCGGGACTATTTGCGTCCTTCAGAGCACTCCTCCCAGGACACACGGCTGCCAGGAATGGCTTGGGAAACTTCCCCAATGAGTCCCTGGGACTATGAGAAGACATTCGGTTCTGTGAGTTGTGGCCTGTTGCCCGAGTTGAAGTTATTTGATCCTATACGCCAGTGGTTCTTAACCTTGGGTTACTCAGGTGTTTTTGAACTGCAATTCCCAGAAACCCCAGCCAGCACAGCTGGTGGTGAAGGCTTCTGGGACTTGCAGTCCAAAAACACCTGAGTAACCCAAGGTTAAGAACCACTGCTATAAGCAATGTGCTGGAGGAGGAAGGTGTGAATAAAAGCGACAATTCAAAAATTATAAAGACATCTCCCTTTTTATTTCCCGCAGAAACAGAGGAGCCGCCTAGACAAAATACAGAACCCAATCACACAGACCACTAGGGCATTGCAGACATTGGTCCCCAAATGCACATTTGGGCTAGGAATGGATACTGGGTGCAACTTTCGATGTTACCTTTCAAAATAAATATTTGAAGTATGAGATTCTAAGCCCCATTACCCGGTGGTTGTTTTTGAGCTACATTTTTAAAATAGTAATCATTTATCTGCACTAGTTCTCAAAACTAATCAAAACAGTTGCATTTTGGTGACTTTAGAAGATGCATTTGTTGCACACTTGTATGTGCCACCAAAACGCACAGCACAAGCGTGCAGCTGAACTATGTGATTTTCTTCATCCACAATTTAGTGAAGCCTGGTACCTAAAACAGTAGCACTTCTGTGAAGTCACAGTTAACATCACAAACGGATCAACTTTATCTCTTGTTAAGTTACAATCATACTGCATTCTGCCCTAATTGAACACCTCTGCTACTGGGAAAACAGCAACACTTTACAAGAGGAAAAGTCTGCATAGGTTTAGGACACTGAGCTGCCTTGCCCAATTTAAGAACGGTGGGAATGGGAAACCTACAGTCCTTCGGGTGTTGCTGGATTCAACCTACACTTCTATCAGTCCTAGACCAGTGGTTCTCAAACTTGGGTACCCAGATGTTCTTCGACTTCAACTCCCAGAAATCCTGGCCAGCACAGCAAGGGGTGAAGGCTTCTGGGAACTGCAGTCCAAGGGCACCTGGAGACCCGTTTGAGACCCAGTCGACTAGACAACCTAGCCAATAGTGGGACAAGGATGGGGGGGGGGGGGGAGAGAGAGTGAAGTCCAACGGAGCCAACGCAGGAAGGGAAGCCCAGCGGGCTCTGGACCCTCCGCGTCTAGTACGGATGCAGGCGGGAGTGGGCTGGGTGGCTAACGACAGCCTCGCACGTGCCACTCGCCTTCACTACCTGGGAGCCTCTTGGCTCACAGCCGCCACCCCCGCGCCGCGAGGGGACCCGGTCTTTTCCCAAGGAGGTTTCCCTGCAGAAGCGAAGGGACGGCACCACGCCCGCACGCCAGCTCGGCCACCGAGTTTGCCCACTCCAAGCCCGCTGGCAAGGGCGCCCGACCGCTGCTTTACTACTTACAGCCCCGGCAGCAAGCGCCCCGCCGCAGTCCTCACAGGGCGCCTGGGCGGCATGAAAATTATCGCGAGATCCCGGTGGAAAGAGGGCTAGGGAGTTAGGAGACGGAAGAGTCTCCTCTCTCTCTTGGTATCTCTATGTCTCCCCAATAACGCCCAATCACAGTTGTACATTGCCCCGCCTCCCTCTGTGCACCGCCGATCATGTTTCTAGAGATAGAGAACGATAGACTGATGCCCACGCTTTCTATTTGGTTTCACAGGTCCATTTTACGCTGAGTTAAAGCCTTCATGCTGTGTGCCTTCCTTCACTGCAATGGAGTTTATTCCTAGGCAAATTGGGACAGGATTGCAGCCTTCAAATTGGGCGGTTACAGGATTCATCTGAAAGCAGCCTTTGGGCTGAGAAGGTAGTGTTTTGGAGGGACGACTGAGATGTTTGCCTTTAGAATCACCTGTGCTGCAAACTTAATTAGGTTTTATTAGGAGACACTCTGCCCTCATTGTTGAAAAACCAGTAAAGTAAGCGATTAACTATAGAATAGCTACAGCAGCATAGGAAGCCATTCTACAACAATCCTAAATTTTGTGGTAATTAATGCGGTGAATTGGATATTACAGTTCTAGATTCAGGACTTAACTCCCGAGTTGTGTGTACTAACAATAGATACATAGATATATGTATCAATTAGTTCTTTTCTCATGAGAGGATTACCCACTCTGGAGTTCTCCACTGAATCTGAGCGGTCGGGAGCAGGTTTTAATTTTTTTTTAAAAAAAAGATACTACTTTAATGATAAAGCTGTGTAATGGGAGTTCCAGAACGGATAAGTGGAAGTACTTCTCCACACATTCCTAATTCAAATATGAAATCAGAGACTACTTTAATGATAAATGTGTAATGGGAGTTCCAGAATGGATAAGTGGAAGTACTTGTCCACACATTCCTAATTCAAATATGAAATCCATTGCCACAGGATGTGGTGATATCGGTTGTCAACTTGAAAATTTGCATAAATTTAAATGAGGGCTGGATATATTCGGCTTAATGGGTAAATAAAGCTATCAGTTGCTGCTAATCAGGATGACTGTCACCCACATAGCAGAGATAACATGCTGTGCTAATAAGCCAGCGTTTCTGTTATTAGAGGACATGAGATGAATGCCTGCCCTGCTAATGAACTTTCTGTTGGCGAGTGCCTAGCCATTGTGTGAGCAGTATGTTGGATTATAGGGGCCTTTGGTCTGACCCAGCGTGGCTCTTCCTAAAGCACATATCCTAGAGTGTGTGTACGCAGATCTAGAGTTTAGGATACTCCTGCCATCTAATCCGCTGTCGTTATTGAATGTTGGAGGAGTCTCTGAAATTGAGTGGCTTCGAACCACCCTGTCATGTACAGTACTCCACTTTTGTTGTTCCCATTGTGTCAGGCAAAAACAGAATATGCTGCAGAAAGCTGACTGCGGAAGAATTGATGCTTTTGAATTGTGGTGCTGGAGATTCTTGAGAGTCCCCTAGACTGCAAGGAGAACAAACCTATCCATTCTAAAGGAAATCAAGCCTGAGTGCTCACTGGAAGGACAGATCCTGAAGCTGAGGCTCCAATACTTTGGCCATCTCATGAGAAGAGAAGACTCCTTGGAAAAGACCTTGATGTTGGCAAGAGGAGAAGGGGACGACAGGGGATGAGATGGTTGGACAGTGTCATCAAAGCGACCAACATGAATTTGACCCTACTCCGGGAGGCAGTGGAGGATAGGAGGACCTGGCGTGCTCTGGTCCATGGGGTCACGAAGAGTCGGACACGACTAAACAACAACAACATAAAGGGACAGCTTTCACTTCCCCAGCCTATAAGGGGAGTACAGTAGCAATGGTCTCACAGCAATGCAAAGCTGTTATTAGGTGGTGCAATTTGCTAATACTGTCGCCACCCGTCGACACGTGGGAAGTATAACATGGATTTTTAAATATTTCGGAACTTAAAAAGTAGCGTGTTTGATGTGAGATAAGACGTAGTTGCATAGCCGGAATTCTTATGCTCGCTTTCTCTTTTCTCCCTTTGGTGGGGAGGGAACGGCCGCTGCGCAACATCTTGTGCGTTTCTACCGCTCCAATTTTACCACCTTCTGCAAATAAGATGGTACAAATAAGCGGGTTCCCTCCCCACACACACACACACACAGAAGGATGCTCCTTCCAGCTGTTTGAGGCGCGGCGATCCTTTGAATATCTCCAATTCCCACCCCCGGATTTCACCCACCGGAAGTGTCGCAGCGGCGCACTCGCGAGGTTTGCGACTCGGAAGCTGGGACAGGTGGAGGGGGAAGGAAGGAGGAGGAGGAGCGAAAGGGGGGAGGAGGAGAAGGAGGGCGCCGGTGATTGGTGGGCTGCTCCTCGCTGCTGTGGTAACGGGGTTTGGCTGGGGCGCTTGCTCCGAAGGGCCCTGCGGCGGGTGCTTCCTCTTCTCTCAAGATGGCGGCCGTGGGGGGCGGCGGAGTGAACCCCTTCCTCAGTGACTCGGAGGAGTCAGACCCCGAAGACACCAGGCCCGGCGGCGGCAGCAGCAGCAGCGACCCGGGGGGTTCTGCCGCTCCGCTCGCGGTGCCCGCCGCCCCCTCCTCGCCGCCCCTCCCGCAGCCGCAGCAGCAGCCGCCGCCGCCGCTTTTGCCCCCTCCTCCTCCTCCTCTGCAGGCCGAGGAGCCGCCCCGAGTGCCCGTGGACGCGCTGGCGGCTCAGCTGCTGCGGGACCAGTTCATCCTGACGGAAGCAGACTCTCCCATTGGAAGTCCAGGAGCTGAACATGAATTGGGGAAATACACAAGCTCATTTCGCCATAGAATCAAACTCACTATCAGCTTAGAGTTCAATACATTGTTAGAGTCACTGAATGAACATACCTAATGTCACGTTTGCTCAGCGTATTATGAGAGGTCCCCGGCAGACCGAGCCCCGGCGGAGCCGGGTGTTCATCGCCACCTCTCTTTCCCCCTTTTCGTTATTGCGCCCCTGGATTGACCTTGGCGCGTGTTTGCTTTCGCTGCCCTTCCTTTATTTCGCGTCAGGGCTTCTGTAAATCTTCACAGAAACAAGGGTTCGGTTGAAGCAGCGGCCGATTGGTCTTGTAGGTAGGCCTCGTTGTGAAAGCCAGTGTTTTGACATGGCACTCGTGAAGTAACGCTGCTGGCAACGCCTTGCTTGCTTGATTCGGTGAAACCTTTCCATCTGTCTGATTTTGGGTGTACTCTGTCTTATTACGAAAGTAAGCTTGATCCCTTGAAGGCTGCAGCCCTATATATCTGAGAGAAAAATCCTACTGTAGTCAGTGGGAACTGTAGTACACTATAAGGCTTGGATTTGGATTAGTTGATCACCACTCCACATGTGTGTGGGTTTGCACTGGCAGGGTTGCTATGTCAGAGGCATAGTTTTCAAGCACTAGTCGTCTTTCCTGTTTGTGGATTGTTTAAGCTTATTAAGGCATATGTTTTTAAGGACGCGTGAAATTTGTTACAAAAATTGAGTTGCCCTGTAAGTTGTCATCATATACTGTAGGTGGTAAGTGTATATTGCTCCCATCTGCACAGTAGGGAAAAACTATCACAAAGTAATTTCTGATCTGTGAAGCATTTCACTTTTTGCAGTCCTTCTGCAAGACTGGGTAGTTTGTCAGCTGGAGTTGCTCCAAATCACATTATCCCTTTTGGAAACAAAAACTGGCCATTCTGCCACTTGCAGTTTGATGCTGAAACACCAGGTTGGGAACATAGAGAGAACTCATGAAGTGGCACCCCTACTGATTTTACACCCCTACCAATTTGCCAAATAGAAAATATAGTTTTTCTTTCTCAACAGTGATGTATTTCTTTCTCATGAGCATTTGTATCTTGTTTAATGATGGAAGTGCAGTTGCCATTGGTGCGTTGTATTTGGAAACGGCAATTTTTGTATAAGTTTTTGGCTAAAGCTAGCCTTGTATTTTAAGGTGTTTTGGAATTTATTTGATAATCCCTACTAATCAAATACAGTATGTTAAGTAAAAATTAAAATCCTTATACACTAGTGCAATGATGTTGAACCTTTTTGAGCCCGAGTGCCCAAACTGCAACACAAAATCAACTTATTTATTTCAAAGTGCCAATACTGCAATTAAAACCCAAATGCTAAGGTTTTAGTTTAGAAAAAAACAACTGCTCCTGCACTGCAAGGGTTAAATGCTTATTACTGTTTTTTCTTATGGGCAGTATTAACAACGAAATACTTCCTGGTCCTCCAATCCCCCATTGGGCTAGACTGGTAATGGTCACCATTGCACCCCTCTACTGGACCACTGCAACAGCAGAGGGGAGTGCCAAAATCTGGAATCGGAGGACGGGTAAGTAATTCTCTATGACGATTTATAGCTCATGTGCCCACAGAGAAGGCTCTGTGTGCCAGCTTTGGCACACGTGCCATAGGTTCGCCATCACTGCACTAGTGTATCCTGAATAATTTCAGAGTCAATCATCATGATAATGGTATTATTTTTGCTCTTGTTAGCAAGAAATGTTGTACAGATGTTGTTGATTAATAAAAACAATTACAGTACTTCCTGAAAAGGCACTACAGTACAGTATTGTGTAATGGGACAGATAGGATAATGTACCTTGAAATTTGGAACTAAAGGGTTTAATGAGATCCTGATGTTGATGTTTCTATTGAAAAAATATCAATACAAAATACTAACATCACCCTTTTACTAAATTCTCCACTTCCAAACTTCAGGGTATAGTACCCTGCCTGCCCCATTAGACAATAGTTGCCTTTCCTGTTTTTATTAATCAACAGCATCTGTACAACATTTCCTGCTAACAAGAGCAAAAATAAATGCTATTATCATGGTGACTGACTTTGAAATGGTACACTAGTGTGGAAGTATTTTTACTTCTTGCTGTCTTGTTGCCAGGATATGGGTTATGCTGAAACCATTGTAGGTTTCTCAAAAAGATTTTTTCAACACTGTGTTTCCATGTGTTGAGTGCTCACTATGTTGAGTGCTGCGTGAAACTGAACCAACTTAAGGTAAGCATAGGAGTTACCATGATCTAAGGAGGTATTAAATTGCATAGCTTTCCACAGTGGCAAAACCAGGATATACCTTGGATGATCTTGATTAGCCATTTTGTAGATATGTGAAAGTATACAAGAACAATTTTGACTTTTAAAGTCATGATTATTTCCTGTACTAATAATAGAAATAAGGAGGAGCAAGCTGTCATATGTTCTGATGAAATAAGAACTTGCCTTTTGAAAAAAAAATAGTGATTCATTCACTCACATCTGTATGACATGAACAAAGAAACTCATTATGTGGTCATTTACTCTTTTTGAGAGAACTAGAAAATTACAGCTTGATCAGTCTTTTGATTTGTAAAACATGAGGTTAACAGTGTGTGTGAATCCTGTGTTCCAGTATTCTGCTGCTTGTTCAGGCTTACAACATGAATGGTTCTTCCCAGAAATTATTGCTGTCAAATTGCAAAATGATACTTTAGTATTGTATTGGAGAAATAGATGCTGAATTATCATTACAGTAGTGGAACTTTGGGGACTTTCTTCCTTTCTCCTGTCTGCAGCTTCATACTGCCTCACAGTTTCCTTCATTCCTCCAGAACTAATTTGGAGAACACACCAGGGAGTAGATGCACAAGGAATGATTCTAGAGGAAGAATTATCAGAGAGTTAGGAGGGAGAAAAGGGGGGAGCAAAGTAATGTGGCCCTTTTGCTTTCTCTCCCCCTCCCCCCTTTAAAAAGTGGATAGATTATTGCCAAGAGCACCCTTCTGTGAGTACATCAGTGTAGAATCCTGTACCCATGAATTTACAAACTGATCCAAGTATTCGCTATGCAGAAATTGTCGGACGTAAGCCAGGCCCTGGAATTTCTGCCCCTTTCCTTATTTTCTAGAGAGAGGAGAGACACTTGCATTAGGGATTTTGAGTCCTCTAATTTAAGTCTTCACTTTCCTTCAAGGGTTGCTTATTTAAAGAGCATCTGTTCAGTGTGCAGCTGGCTTGATCATCCTGTGCACATTATTCCTTAGGAGTAGTTAGGGAGATATAGAAGGTAGATACTTAGAAACAGGTCTTTCTAGATGCAGGATCTAGATGCAGGATGTAATGATTTGGACTGATTAGTATATTTTTGGAAGTGGCCATTGTTGGCAGTAGATTATGTTTTGAAGCTAATGAATTTGTTAAAAAAAATCAATCTCAAGTCAGATTTGTTACATTGCTTTTAATTATACATTGTGGATGTGAGAAATTTATGTAGATTTTATAATGCAACAAAGCTGGGTTATGATGGTTTTTAAAATTTGACAAAGCTTTTTTATTTGAAAACATATGTTTGTGCTATTAAGCAAGGAATGTTTTGTATGTGTTTCTTTTCCCATTCCTTTTATATTTTAAATGTACATTATAGGCTAATCAGGTTCACTAGAGCTAGCAGAAAATGAAAGAATACAGAAGAAAAAACACGGCGGGGGATCAAAATGTTCTGTCTGCTTCCCACCTTCACATCTTATCACAACATCTTTTTCTTACTTCACCAATCAAGCATGTGCTCATAATCTCCCCGGTGTCCTGAGCAAAAGGCATCTTTCACTGCTTCTCTGAATAATGATGCGAAGAGTTGGCCATCATTAAGTTTCCTCCCTTGCTTCCCTCCCTTCATCACCACCCCATGCTATTAATTACTATGATAGTTACAGGGTCAAATTAAACACTCTTTCTGAGCAATGAAGGCAAAGCTGAATGAAAGTTCTGGGGACTGAATTTCTGTTCTCAACAGAAATTGTTAACTAGTTCATAATTTTATAAAACCTAAATGTATTTCACATCCGTCATAGATGCATCAGATATCCATTTCCAGTGTGAAATGATGGACACTGTGCAAGTGGGGAGTAGCTACAGATACTAAAACAGAAGCAGAATAGTGACCAGAAGAGTCAATGTAGTTGGGATCTGGTTACACCAAGTAACTTATGACTGGAAAAAAAATACACCAGTAAGTATTTGAAAGCCACCTAGTACAGTGGAATTCCAAATAAGCAAAACTGGGAGCAAATTGCCACATGTTTTTCAAGTAAATTTCATAGTGCACGAAATTAATATTGTATACAAATGTATTTGTTTGTAGTAAGAGGAATTTTCCTTTCAAGTCTCCTTCAAAACAAGACACAAGTATTTAATATAAAGGTAACTTACTTCACTGAAATACAGTATATAAACCAAATTAGACATAGTATCTTTAGTTTATAAACTGTCTTTTCATCTGTCATCCTCTCTCAAAATAATGCTGAGAAGGCTGGTATTTAAGGGTGTCTCTTTAGCATACAGTTTCAGAAACAAACCTTTACTTAGATACATTCCAGCATAGTGTTTCATGAGTGACTTAGATACTTCCATAGTTACCACACCCAAGTATGTTTGAAAGTTTTCAATATTGCTTCCACGTTTCCTGGAACCAGTTTTTGCTTTTGTAATCTATATCTTCATTTCCACATCAAGAATGACTTGAATTTTATTTGTGTCCTACATATT